TGGATTGACCTTTTGCAAAGCTGGCCAATCAGTTAGTATTCAATAAATAATATTTTATCAATAAATTAAGTAGCGAAAAAGACCTTTTAAAATGTGGTGGTAACTGGAAAAAATCAATTGGGTGTTAGTTATAATTGTTTGTTTTTTTTCGTTTAATTGAGAATTTAGATAAATGATAAGTAAAAAATAATATATTTACAAAAAAGTATAAAATCAAAATTAAATTTAAACTTAAAAATTTAGTTATAAACCAATTTGGACATCTTCTACATTTAAAATTGTTGCATTTTGTGTAGTCCTATGTTTTACTGCACAAGCCTGTCTTTGTACCATGTCCTTGAGCTTATTTTAAAGCAAAAGCTATCTTTCTAAGCAGATGAAACAGACACATAAATAAAATATTTCAGACTTCTGGGTGCAATCAATGCTTGCTAATCTAGTAAACAGTGCTCGCTAATCTAGTAATGAGAGTAATATAATAAAGACTCTAATAAACAATGCTCTATAATTTTGTAACAAACGTTCAAGAATTTGGGAAGGAGAAACTATTACTTATTTTCTTGAATTTACAAAAAATGTTTTTTTAAAATGGCTTTGTTGAAGACTAAAGTTGTTTATTTAAACACTATGTTTGTGCATTGTTAAAAGAATGTATTTATATAATTGTTAAACACATATTTTTAATTTAGTTTTTTCCATTGAAGTAAAACATTAATGTCTTCAAAATGTTTTTTAAATATAACTTATGTAATTCTGCTTAAATTAGAACACTGGTTTCTGTTGTGTTTTGTGTGATGTGTTTTGACATCATAGTCTTTTTTAAGTTTGTTTTTTGTTTAAAATATTTTCTTTTTAATTTGGTATCAAATAGAAAATGGTATAAATATCCATTTACATGTATATTTATATATAAACATCATTATGTCAACAATCATTATGTCAATAATGATAATCATCATTGTCATCATCATCATCATCATCATCATCATCATCATCATCATCATCATCATCATCATCATCATCATCATCATCATCATCATCATTATCATCATCATCATCATCATCATCATCATCATCATCATCATCATCATCATCATCATCTAGAATTAGCCTTTCTCATTTCTTTCCTTAACTAAAGCTTTTTCTTGCCAGATGTAATGCATTCTCTACAAATTTTTTTAATTCTACCTATACTATTTTTTTTAAAGCTCCTTTGTCTCTATATGCTGATGCCCAAATCACTTTAATCTTTTCTAGAAAACAGTTTTCAATACAATTTTTTTTCTAATCTTTTTCTAAAATTATAGCTCCTTTTCTTGTCTTGTTAGAGTCACACCACATACCCATTTGATAAGATGTTAGAGTCATACCACAAATCCATTTAATAATTATCTTCTTTTTTGGCAAATTATAATTATATATAAAGGTATTGTATACCAGCATCTAAATAGCGAACATATATGCTTATATCCATTTAATGTATGAATAAATGCGCCTTTTACCTAACCTCCTGGATCCTATTAGGTATGTAGACTTCTTTCTTGTCAGTTTTAAGTTGCATCATTCTATTCCACGTTTTTCACTTTCTTGTGCAATTGCTGTATTAAATCATAATCATTTTTTTCATCTTTTTTATAAGAACACCTCTCTTGAGAGCAAATGTCTTTTTGATATTGCAAGAAGTCATTATAGAAAGGTCCTGTCTGATGCTAAGCTTTGTTATTCTCAGTTTACAAAATCTTGTATCTTACCTCAGATGTTAAGCTCTAAAGACTTTTTATTAAAGAATCTTTAACAGTGTCATTAACTAAAGTAAGTCTAACATTCCATCTCTAATTCATGGGTCTGATCTTATTACTTCTCTTCTAAATAAGGCAGACTTATATGCAAAGAACTTTTCTTCTAATTTGACTATTGAATCTAATGGTCATATTCTTCCTTCTTCCTTTCATTTCAGTTAACAGATTAACCCATTCTAAGGCATTTAAATCACTTAGAGTTCCAATGCTAAAATAAAGTAAATGCTAAGTTCTTAATTAAACACTTCTATGACTTGTGGTTAACACATTATTCCCATCACAGTCTTACAAAAGCATTCTCTAAAGCTTTTTTCAATTTTCGCTAAACTATTAATAATTTCTAAATAAGTGGATTTATTTTTGAAACTCTAAAAAGCACACTGACCTTTCCAACTATTATACGATTAGTCTTCCTTCTGTTATTAATATTTTTATGTACAGGTTTTGAGATTATTAAATCAATTGTAAATGTAGTTTACCTGTATTATATTATTAGACCTGCTTTATCTGCCAACCTTGAGCTACTCTACCATCGTCATAGATTGGTTCTCATTTTTTTTCTTTCTCCAAAAGATTTCTCCGAATCATAGTTATTGCTAAATTGAGCTATCATCTCATTTTAAATAGTATTTCTGTTAAAAGTTTTGTTGTATTTATTTCTTCTTTACTGTTTATGGCAGAATACAAAAAATAGGGTAATCAAAAATCAACATGCTACATGCCAAAAAAAAGCACATGTCACTTTAAGTATTATTTTTAATTTAAATATAAAGAAAAGTAGGTTTAAATATTGTGGGTAGCATTATAATAATAGAGAAGTGTAATTAAATAATTATTACAAAAGTGTAATAATTATTTTTTTTATAATAATAGAAAAGTGTAATTAAATAATTATTACAATATTTATTCTTTTTCTCTTAATTGATTATTAAATAAATTATTTGAAATTTTTTTGGTTTGTGATTTACTTTATATAAACTTATTTTTTTCTAAATATTTCTCTCTCTCTCTCTCCCTCTCTCTCTCTCTCATATATATATATATATATATATATATATATATATATATATATATATATATATATATATATGTATATATATATATATATATATATATACATATATATATATATATATATATATATATAAATATACATGTATATATATATATATATATATATATATATACATACATATATATATATATATATATATATATATATATATATATATATATATATATATATATATATATATATATATATATATATATATATATATTAATGAGCATAAAACAGTGAACTTAAAACTTATCCTTTTAAAACTTTTTCACCACTTAAGAGTTTTTTTTCTAAATTAAAATTGCTATTTCCAGTAAAAGGTTATTGTTTAAAAGTTTAGGTAAAAGTTTAAAAATTGCAGGCTTTTATAAATTGATAATTAGATATTAAGTATTATATTAATCTAATTGTAATTGTACAATTATAAATATTCATATTTTATTTCTTGATAGACATGTGACATAGGTTGTGTATTATTTGCATCAAAAACAGTTTCTGTCAATTTGCTTATCAGTTCATTTTTTACACAATCTGTAACAACTAATTGGTGTTAATTACCATGTCAAAAGGTTTTAGCCCAATTTACTTCAACAGTTTTATGCAGAATGTCAACTGCAAGCATAATCTTTTAGCACTAGTAAAGTTTTTACACCCATGCAAATAATTTCACCCATTTAAATCGTTTCACCCATGCAAATAGTTACACCCTTGCAAATAGTTTTACTCATGCAAATAGTCACTGGGTTTCAAAATACCAGTTTTTATCTGTTCAACATAAAATGTTGTCCATAATTACAAATTTCTAAAGAGTAAAAAAATCTAACTAAATCTGAGTCCTCATCATCTCAACCACTAAAATCTATGCTATTACTATTCATCGTCACCACCAGCACCAGTAACTGGTGCTGGTAGTGACAATGAATGGTAATCTTATCAGCCACTCTTCTTTAAATCTTCACCAATAGCGTTTAGTATCAGTATACGCTGTATTAACATCAAACTAAAAGTTATTCTTCAAAGTCAACTTACCTGCTGTCAACTTTCAATATTGAAGTAACTCTGGCTATTTATAATCAAAAAGGAGTTCAAAAATTACAATCCACTCCATAGCTTGCAACAGTTTTGCAACAAATATTTCACATGAAACAAACAAAAAAACAAAACTATTTAGATGCGCTAAAATTTGAAGGGTAATGTCTCAATAAATCTAAAAACAAAAGCAGTTCAAATATTTTTAGCTACAATGTTGGCTTTGCTAATAGCATCAGCAGCAAATCAAATCAAGTGTAAAAAGTGTTATTATGTTTTGGGTGAATTTGGATTCTTTAAGTAAAAATTGTGAATGTTACTAATGAAAAATTAAAAATACAAAGTTTGGTCAAACATGCGAACCAAAGCAGTATATAAAATATTTTATAGTGTCAAAAAAATGCAATTAAGTGAGAAGCAAACTTAATCTCCAGAACATTTTCTATAACTTAACATCATCACAAGCCATATCATCATAATTAGTTGTCTTTATTAGTTGTTATTGTTTGTTTTTTTAAATAAGTGTTTTCTTAATTAGGGATCGTCCATTAATTACAAAACGCAAAATTAAACTTATAGACAAAAGACAAAGGGGTAAAAGTTTTCCCTCGCTGAGTCCTAAATTAAACCAAGTATAAAAAAACCTTTAAAATCCAAAAAAACACTGCACAAAAGAGCAAAATGATCTCCTACTTATATTTTTTTAAATGAGTTTTTTGTTGCATGATTTATAGACAATCCTTTATCCCTCATTTTGTTCTCCCCAAATGTGAGTATAAAATTTTTTTTATTTTTTTATTTTTTTTTTGTTTCAATCTAATAAGTTTACTAAAGCAAAAAAAAAAATTAATTATTTCTTTTATTAATTAAATTCAGACTTGAATTATCTACATTTCTCTTTTTTTTTCTTTTTCTACATTTTTTTCTTTTTCTACATTTTTTTTTTTTTCTACATTTTTTTCTACATTTCTCATTTTTTTTCTTTAACAAAAAAAAAATCTTTTTCCTGTAAACAAAAGAAAATGAAAACCTTAAGCTATTTTGTTTCACTCTTTTTTAATCATTTTGTTTTGAATTTTTTTATTTTTTAAAATGCTTTTGGCATTTTTTAGAGAGGAATGGAATCAACTATTTCAAGATGGATTTATGACAAAGGTTACATTATTATTATTAAATATTAATTTGACTTCTTGAGTCATTAGTTACTCATGAAGTCAGCCAAGATATAATATATATAATATACCATATAATAACTTTAATATTACCATGGAAACATTAATTATTTTAAATATGGATGATTGATTAGAAGACAATTTTAAAAAATTTATTGACAATTATTTAAAAAAAAAAACAACTTAAAACTTGTTTGAAATAATTGTAAAATATGTTTTAATATAAAATTTGTTTTTTATATTCATATTAATATTTTTTATTCATTTTTAAGATTTTACTTAAATTGATACAAATAATACAAATAAATATTATTACATACTACACTGTTTATCTAGTTATTTAATTATCTATATTAGAAATAAAATATTGTTTGTATTTTTAATTTATAGTATTTTATATTTTATTCTTCTAGGTGTAATTTATGTTAAATTTTTTTAAATGTAGTAAATAGTCCAATAAATACATTCCCAGAGAAATTTTTTATCAACTTGAAGATAATGTTTGTTTAAATCATCATCATTTTGAATGCTGATTGAATAAATCCTTAAAAACAATTTTTTCAAAAAATTCTGCTCTTACCCCCTAAAAATAGTCTGTATAATGTAATAACATAAATTATTATTTTATAATTAATAATATAATAACATAATATTAATAATTATGAAATAAATGCAAGTTATTAATAATTATAAACAATAATAATTGTAATACATTATGCAAATTATATTTTGCCTAAAGTATTATATTTTTTTATTTAAATTTAAAAAGGTATATTTTTTCAGTTTGTTTTCTTATAAAATAATTATTTTTGAAATTTTTATATAATTTCCCTTCATTTGAGATCCAGCATGACTTTTGAGATCCAGCATGACTTTTGAAAAACTTTTTTTAAATACTATTAGGGATCCATTAAATTTTAGAAAAATAACCTTAAAAAAATTTTTTAAATCTTTTGAAAAATAAATTTTTTTTTAAATCCTTAGAAAATTAACCTTAAATAAATTTTCAAATCTATTTTAAATTTAAATATTTTATAATTAGTAATAACCATATGTAACAATAGTCTAAATTTATGAGACCAGGTGTCTAACATTAGGTGACTAACATCATTATTGGCATTCTCATCGTCAAACAGTAATCAAACATTGCTTGTTTACTTAAGTGTCAGTTAGAATACGAGGTTGTTGTACTTGGTGATTTACAATCATTTCCAGTAGACAATTTCCTCAAGAAAACGTTCATAAAATAACAGACAGTTACATCTTTCCAAACTGGAATAATAGGTTTCTTAAAATTATATAACGGTTGCTTAAATACTAGTTTTAAATGTAACAACTTTATCAATAACAATTATGAACTTATTAAAATCTACATTGTTATTATAAAATCAGCATGTGAAGTCCTTAACCAATATTTATCCAAGAAAAAACTGTCTTTGCATTTAAAAGTAAAATTGTTATTGTATTTTATTTAAAAATAATGGTGAGAGATTGGTTTTTAAAATTTTATTGTTAAATCACTAATTTTTATTTGCACTGGATGGCGCTAAATAATTTGCAAAAGTCTTTCAAAAATGCTCAAGACAATAGTCTTTACAAAAGAACTTTAAAATTGAAAAGTTAAAAAATGCGAAGCCAAAATACTTTCAAAATATTTTCAGTATAAAAAACAACGCAAATTCACAATTGTACTATAAACAATAAAAAGGATAAAGACTCAATTACAAAAAAATTTTCCAACAGTTTTAAAAATCACTTAAACACTAAAGCAATCACGCATACCTCCACAAGTTTTTAAGTTCCACTTTTTACTAAATTTTGTCGAGGTAATAATAAAAATCCCAGGATGCTTTTAAAATCTCAGCAGAACATTTAAAGCTGTGAAGCCCTAACAGAAAATGTCTTAAAAAGTTCTTCATGAATCACTAACAGACAACAAAATGTCCATATCACTTATTATTAATCTCTTGCTTACTTGTATAAAAATTCATTAGTTAATCCAAATACCTACCACACTATTAATAATTGTATAAAAAGTGTTTAGTAAATCCGAATACCTACCGCAGTATTAATAATCATTCCAATCTTTAAGAAATTAATAAAATAATTTGTATTACTAATCTGTCTAGAAATAAAGGAAGCTCATCTTATTTAGTAAAAATAGTTCAACCTTTCATGCTGAATTCATTATTAGTCAAATAATTATACACACAACAACTCACCTTTCTACTTCTGTTTCCTAGATGCTGAGAAAGTGTTTGACAGCTGAAACTGTCAAAATCTTTTTTAATATTTAGGGAATTATAAATTAACTATATTGTTAATACTATATTGTCGTCATACCATAACAACAGTGCTTCTGTCTCTTAACTTAACTAATAAGGCATCAAAAGATGGTCATTATTTTATTTTACAAGATATCAATGATACACATAACCATGAAGTATCTAAAGTAAGTTATAAAGTTTCTAAAGTAAGTTATAAAGTTTTTTTTTTTTTTTTTTTTATACTGCCTTTTACTAGCTGATTTCTTTTTTTACAGATTAGTTTTTGTTTTTAAATCAGTTTGAGCATGAGTAATAATTTTTTAAATTTTTTAATTTTTTATCATTATACCAACATAAAAATCATAGAAATGAAAATGAAATAACATGAAAGTAAAATTATTTATTTGGAGTAAAAGTTTGGAGTAAAGTCAGGTCAGGTTTTCCTGCTACTGGTAACATGTAACCCAGTACAACCTGCTCCATGTCCTGCTGCCTTGTAGGATACGCTTTTTTAGGCAAAGGCTAGGAGAAGTTAACTCCGAATTAAAACACCCCCTGCCTTGGGGCTCTTGGTTGAGTAAAGGCTAGAGATGGTGTCTCGATAAAAATACTCATCTTGGGCAGATGTTACATGCATCCAGCTGCCGTCTTGTAGAAGGCCTCCTAGGCAAAGACTTAAGGGGTAAACAGATTCTATCTGTTGACCAGCCTCGCACCCCTTCCTCATCTATTAGGCTGGCGCAGATGTATTTTTAATACATTGTTTCCAGTTTAGGATGTTGAACGCTGGATCTTCTTGACTCAATGCGTGGGTATTGCTTGTGTCTCTATTTTTATGACTGGGCAACTCATTCTATTATCTCCTAATGAGGGTACAGCTCTAAAACTCAGTTTTATGGTTCTGAGGCCGGCTGGTAGTCAGGTTTCCCGAACTCTGTGGTAGCTCTCAGAGAGGCTGATTCCATCAACAGCCGAAAAATATCAGAGTACTAACAGTGCCATGTTGCGCATGGATGGTGTCCCTGTTTGTACTTTTGGTGTGCATTGCAGAGGCCACATTTGGAGCCCTTTGTTACGGCTTAGGGTTTATTAATAGTAATGAGGCTATTGCTTAGTTGTTAAATAGTGTACTGAGTACTATCTATACTTGAGTCAAGTTCTTTATAAATTTAAAATGACTAAAGTACCTAAAACTAAAAAACACAAAAAAACCATCGTCATCACCAAGTTCTCTAAACCTTTCATTTACTAATATTCGTGGTCTTCGAAGTAACTTTTCTTCTGTTGAGTCTTATCTCTTGCAAAGTTCACCAGACCTACTTGCTCTTTGTGAGACTAATTTGAGTTCGGCTGTCCCATCTTGTGATCTTAGTGTTGATGGTTATCTTCCTTTAATTCGTAAAGACTCCAATAATCACATGCTTGGCCTGGGCATCTACATTCGTAAGAACTCACCCATTTGTCGTGAAACTAGGTTTGAATCTACAGACTATTCATTTATGTGCTTTCGTTTAGCACAACTTCACTCTATCGCCTTTCTCTTTGTTCTATATCGCTCTCCTTCATCCCAAGATTGCACTATTCTTGATGTTATTTCTGATCAAATTGACCAAGCCCTCTCTCTCTTTATCCATCGGCCAATATCGTCGTTGTTGGTGACTTTAATGCCCATCACACCGATTGGCTTGGCTCTAGTGTCAGTGACTCTGCTGGCGTTAAGGCCCTCAACTTTTGCCTTTCTCAATCTCTAACTCAAATAGTCAACTTTCCAACTCGTTTTCCAGACAACCCTAATCATTTACCTTCTCTACTCGACTTATGTCTTGTTTTGGATCCTAGTCAGTGCTCAATTTCTCCACATTCACCCTTAGGTACTTCTGATCACGGTTTGATCTCTCTAAAACTATTATCAAATTCTTCTACTTCATCAGAATCCCCCTATCATCGTACCACATACAACTACCTTAAAGCTGACTGGGACTCTTTCCGTGATTTTCTTCGTGATGGCCCTTGGGTAGAAATCTTTCGTCTTCCTGCTGACAAATGTGCTTCTTACATAACTTCGTGGATTCAGGCTGGCATGGAATCTTTTATTCCCTCTCGACGATTCCAGGTCAAGCCTCACTCTTCTCCTTGGTTTTCCTCACATTGCGCTGCAGCAATTTCTAATCGAAACCGTTACTTCCATATCTATCAGCAAAGCAATTCTCCAGAAAACAGACATCTGTTCACTATCGCCAGAAACCATTGTAAAAAGGTTTTGTCTGACGCCAAAGCTCGCTATTCCCAGGTCATTAAATCTCGTATCTCATCACAAAAATTAGGCTCTCGAGACTTCTGGAGAATCTTTAACAGTATCAATAATAAGGGCAAATCTGTTATTCCTTCTCTCTTGTATGGTTCAGACTTTGTCACCTCACCTAAAGACAAAGCTGAATTGTTTGCTAAGAACTTTTCATCAATATCATCTCTTGATTCCACTAGTTGCGTTTTACCTGACATAGCCGTCAAACAGGTTGATCCCTTGCTTGACATTCGCATCACCTCAGCTTCTGTATCTAAAGTAATTTCCTGCTTAGACTCTTCAACAGCTTGTGGTCTTGACAACATTCCTGTTGTAGTCTTGCAGAGGTGTTCTCCGGAGCTTTCATCCATACTTTCTAAACTATTTAACAAGTGCTTATCAGAGTCTTGTTTTCCATCATGCTGGAAAGCAGCATCTGTTATCCCTATTTTCAAAAATTCCGGAGAGCGATCTGATTCATCTAACTACCGTCCCATTAGTCTTCTTCCTGTCATAAGCAAGGTTTTTGAATCTTTAATCAACAAACACTTAATCTCTCATCTTGAATCAAATAACTTACTTTCTGATCATCAATATGGATTTCGGTCTTCTCGTTCTACAGCTGATGTGCTAACAGTAATAACCGATAGGTTTTACCGTGCATTAGATAGAGGTGGAGAGGTTAAGGCTATCGCACTTGACATTTCTAAAGCTTTTGATAAAGTTTGGCATGCTGGTCTTCTCCATAAGCTTTCTTCTTATGGTGTAGCTGGTAACGTCTTTAAGATTATTGAGTCCTTTCTTTCCAATCGTAGTATAAAAGTTGTCCTCGATGGACAACACTCTTCTTCACATCCTGTAACTTCAGGGGTTCCTCAAGGTTCAATCCTTGGCCCTATACTCTTTTTAATTTACATTAACGATCTTCCAGATATTCTCACATCTAAGGTGGCATTATTCGCTGACGACACTACCATTTACTCTTGTCATGATAAGAAGCCTACACTCTCTGATTGCTTGGAGGGGGTATCTGAGCTTAAAAAAGGATCTCACTTCTGCTACAGCATGGGGCTCACAGTGGCTGGTGAACTTTAATTCAGATAAAACTCAATTTTATTCGGCCAATCGTTATCGTAATAATTTAGATCTTCCTATATTTATGAATGGTAATGTACTAGATGAGTCATCTACCATTCATCTTCTAGGATTAACTCTTACTTCTGATCTTTCTTTTAAACCGTATATCAAATCCATTGCAAAATTAGCATCTGCTAAGGTTGCATCTCTTTATCAAGCTCGACACTTTCTTACTCCAGATTCTATTCTCTATCTCTATAAATCTCAAATCCGTCCCTGTATGGAATACTGTTGCCACATCTGGGGCGGATCTTCTAATGATGCTCTTTCTCTTTTAGACAAGGTACAAAAACGAATTGTAAACATAGTTGGACCTGCTCTGGCAGCCAATCTCCAACCTTTGTCACATCGTCGTAATGTTGCTTCTCTTTCTCTTTTCTACAAATACTATAATGGGCACTGCTCTAAAGAGCTAGCGTCCCTTGTGCCATCTACTAAAATTCATTCTCGTGTTACTCGCCATTCAATTAAGTCTCATCCTTTTTCTGTGACTGTTCCTAAGAGCTTCAAAAACTCTTATTCTTCTAGTTTTTTTCCTCGAACATCAGTTCTTTGGAATTCGCTTCCTTCATCTTGCTTTCCTGATTCATATAATTTGCAATCTTTTAAGTCATCAGTCAATCGTTATCTTGCTCTACAGATTTAGTCTTTTCTCTTCCAGTAACTTCCAACTCTTATAGTGGTTGCTTGCAGCCTTGTTGGAAGTAAAGATGTTTAAAAAAAAAAAAAAAAAAAAAAAAAAAAAAAACTTGGTTGCAAATCCATTTATATAATACAAGCAGTAAGACAGGGATCTATTCTCTCTCCAAATAAGTATATTAATTGATAAATCTTCTCTAATCTTTATTCAACCAGGAAGTCCAAGCACACAACCAAGATGGCAATAATTATGATGGTAATGGTTAATTAAAAAACTTAATGATTAATTAAATATATGTTAAAACATACTAAATATAAACATAAATATGCTGATAGCCATTTATGAATTATAAGTTTTCAACATTAATATGTAGAGAATTTTGAACAAAACTTTAAAAGTGTTAAGGTATTAAAGCTAATATTATTTAAAACAAGATTTTTTTTGTAGTCAAATCAAATGTATGAATACAGAAATTTAATTTATTTGATGCTAAAAATAAAAGACTGGATGATTGAAACTGCAATTTTTTAAGCTGTAATTTTGTTTTTATACTTTTAACATTTTAGAATCTTATTAATGTATATATTTTAGATAAAAGCTGCTGCTCTAAATGGCAACCTTGGTACGCAACATTTTCGCAGTATTTGTTGGAGGGTAAATATGTATTTATTGACTTATATATTAACAAAGATGTATACAAGAATACAATTACATGTGTGTGTGTGTGTGTGTGTGTGTGTGTGTGTGTGTGTGTGTGTGTGTGTGTGTGTGTGTGAGTGTGTGTGTGTACATATATACATATATATATATATATATATATATATATATATATATATATATATATATATATATATATAAACATATATATATATATATATATGTATATATATATATATATATATATATATATATATATATATATATATATATATATATATATATATATATATATATATATATATATATATATATATATATACATTTGTGTGTGTGTGTGAGTTAATAAAAATCTATAAAGATCATCAGGAAGCTGTTTCTGATGATGCTGCTGAAGGAGAAGTTAGATAAGTGTTTTCTTACTATATTTTACTGCTTTATTTACACATGGAGCACTATGTTCTTAGAACATTTAGCACACTTTTTGTAACATAAACCGACATATTTGACATATATGTGTAGCCTTCGGAATTAGAAATGAATAAATTGCCTATTTTATACTCTTAGAGGTCGACATCAGGTTAGCAAAAAAAAAAATTTGACACAAAGGGTTTACCATAAAACATATAAATGAGGTTAGAGACTTTTTGCCAATCTTCTTTTAAGTTTTTAAATCACTTTTAAGATGAAAGTTAGGTTGGCATTGGTGAATGCTGACCCTGATTCCGAGGGCCGTGTGTGTGTGTGTGTGTTTAAAGTGTCTATTACTCAAGGATTCCAGATAGTTTAAAAATAAATAAAAAAACTTCAATCTTTAAAACAGGTTTAAAACATGCTGACAACAAATTATCATAATTTCTTAGTTTTACCAGTCTTCTTAATAATATTAGAAATAATAATAACAGAATGTTCACTTATTTGATAATAAACTGGTTAATAATAAACTTCTAAATCAATTTGGTTTTCAGAGACACAGTTCTACTGAGCATGATATTATCCAAGTAACGCGCAGTATTGCTGACTTCTTTAAGAGTTCTCAATTCGCACTAGGTATATGGACAAAAGTTTTTGATCAACACATTGGAAAAGTTGGAAATTGTATGTAGGAGAGATAAAACCCTTTATCAGTTCAAATGCTATCTTATTAACTGTAAGCAATTTGTTAATAACAAGGAATCTTTGTGACAATTATTAATGAATTTAACATGCAGTGGTACCAAAAGGTTCATACTTGTCACTAATACTTTTAATATATATAAATGATCTTTACAAAGCGACAAAATATATAACTACTACAATTTTTGTGGGCGATATAAAATTATTCTAGTCAAATGGATACATAAAAATTACTTGTAAATAATATTACTGATGCACTCAAAATAAATTTCACATTGGTTTAATAAGATCGATGTTCTTTAAGTAATAAAACAAAATAAATATCTCTTTATCCAACCTCTAGAAAAATAGAAAATTCAAAGTATCAATAACTTGATCTGTTTATTGACAAAACAAACCTAAAAAACGTTACTGAACTTCTAGGAGTTATAAACTTATAACTGTTAAAAACTTATCTTGTAGACAACATATTGATCATATCTAGTTAAAGTTGCTAAATGTAAAAATGACCAAAGTTGTATTTCTTATCATGGTACTTCTCTTTGGAATAAAGTAAATATACTTAATTTTGATTTTTTTTAAGTGCCTCTGGTAGTTTCTGAGAACATTGACCTTATTCATCATGGTTCATATTTCAAAGTTAAAAATTTGAGATTTGTTTTTGTTCTCCTATCAAAATGAAATTTTACAAAGTTAAAAATTTGGGTTTTAACAATTTAAAAAATTGTTTAAATCCCCATCATTTTTAAAATTGTTTAAATCCCCATCATTTTTAAATTCCCCATCATTTTTAAAATCCCCATCATTTTTAAAATCTCCATCATTTTTAAAATTGTTTTAATGATTTAAAAGGATCTGAGAATGATTTAAAAGGATCAATCAATTAATCAATCAGTTATATATTCTGGAAAAAAGATCTAACTTCCACGGTCGTTACAAATAGTTATAAAAACTAATATAAAGTAAAAACCTCTTTGATGATATAAAACATATTATAGACACATAGTTATAGTTATAATAAAAATAGCAATAAATTTACAAAACAACAATAATAAAAATAATTAATTGAATAATAATAAGAATAACAATAATAATATTACCAGTAAGTATAATTAACACCTAATAATAATGAATAAAATGAAAACATGATAATAATAAATACAATACATATATAACGGAATTGTCAAATAAATCTTTAATAGAAGGCTGTTCATTAAATATGTCAACAAAAATTATAAAAACTAGTGACTAAAAGAATTCAATCAATACAATCTTCCATACAACAATCAATTATATATGCATAGTTACAGTTACAAACAGTAATAAACTGACAAAATGTAACTAATAACGATGACATAGAAACGATTATCGATAAAAGAATACCAAGACTCGATATATATAACAATTTTAGTTTTTATAATATAATAGCAAAAATATATTGTAAGTATAATAAACAAATAAAGAAAATATAAACAGAAAAACACTTATTATACATAAAACTAAGGTTAATAAAAGTAAAAAATGCATTAAATGCATACACAAAAATAAATGACATATAAATATAACAATAAAAATACACATCAATATAAACAATGTATTCACTAAACAAAACTTATAATTTTTTTTCTTGTTCTTTTCTTTTAATGACATTAAAAGAAATTTTTTTGTTTCTGGTAGACTAACGTAATTCATTTCGTATTTTTTTTTTTTTTTTTTTTTACATTTTCGAACTATTTTTTCTTTTACCGAATCTTTTTTTTTTATTTGGTACGTTATTTTGACTTGCTTTATTTGTTTGTATCTTTTGATCTTGTTTTCACTTCATTTTGTTTTATAATTTGATATTTTTAAAAAAAATATTTTGATTTTTTTTTTCTCCATTTGATTTCTTTCCTTTTTTACCGTTAAATAAAAACATCCTCCATTTGCGATGTCATTGCAAAGGATTCGATTAATCTTCCAAGTTGTGTTCATATTAAAAAGAATGATAAAAAACAATATTTGGACAGAATTTTTTTAAAACAAAATAATAAAAATATACCAAGAAAAACAAACTTTGTTGTTTTACTTGAAGCTCTTTTATTCTCCATGTTGGCCAGTTCCTTACAGTCTTTAAAAGTCATTTTATGTAAACAATGCTTTTTTTTTTAAAGTTTATTTAAGCCATTTATAACTATGATGTTTTTGTTCTCCTATCAAAATGAAATTTTACAAATTCTCCAATTTTTAATTAATAAAGAATTTTGGTAAACGGCATTTTTTATGAGATATTTGCAGAATTTTTAAATTTTTAGTTAGAAAATAATTATAGATTTTACACTTAACAAATTTACATACAGCTTTTTTTTAATTGAAACAATAATTAATATTTATGTCAATAATTCTTGACAGATGGCAAAGTAAACGTCAATGTGTTGCAGTGCACGTAAAAAAACATTTTATATTTATTATTTTCTCAAATTATGTTGTGTTTGGCAAGTATTTTACATTAAAACCTGTTTCTTAAAACTACAAATCAAAAAACCAAAATTGACAATAAAAAGTTTTTTATTAAACAATTTTAAAATTGACTTGATAATGCTATACTTTTTTTCAATCTTGACCAATAATTGTTCAATTTTAAAAATAAAATAAAACAAGCAATACTTGTTTTACAGGATAAATTTCATTAAATATATTTTCGCATGATTAAATAAGAACTTCGAAAATATTTGTACCCGATGAAAAGTTTATCAAATAAATGCTGTTAAAATTAAAGTTTCATAAAGTTAACTTATTCACTGCCAGTGGTTTTAACAAAAATCCTTTATGCTGCGACTGCACTTTTTTTTTTTATTAAAATTTGGATGGCATAACATTAACAACTAATTAAAATTAAAATATTAAATCTCTTTAAAAGCATAACAAACTATATATCAATAGAAAGCTAAACAAATGAACATTTTAATTAAATAAGTTTTTTAACATGCATTATTGAACAATAAGAAATTCAAAGTCCAAAACAAAACTCATTTAATGTATAAAAAGAATGTTTTTCTTCAAAAGACATTTGTAATTCAACCCTTGCAATTAGGAGAAATGAGGTTGACAATAATTTGCTGAGCTCAATCTTTTAGAGGGCGACATCAGGTTGACAAAAAATTTGATACAAAGGTCTTACTATAAAACACAGAAATAAGGTCAGCAATTTTTTGCCGACCTCAAACTTCTAGGCTTACAGTTAGGTCAGCATTATCGATCCTAATTCCGAGGGTTGGTAATTACTTAGCTAAATACTTAAGAACTAAATTTGGAGAAGTTTTTTTTATTAAGGATTACTCAAGTTTTTTTACTTTGACATGTGATAATTTTTTATAATAACACAATTTTTTATAATAACATAATATGGCTCTTATTTGTTTTTGATAATGTAGAGAATTAATTGAACCTTGAAAAAAAAAAAAGTTCTATGTGTCTAGAGTGAAAATTTATGTACAAAATAAGATAAAGTTTGAAGCATACTTGAAAGCTGCAACCAGCTGCTTGCGGTCAAAATTTGAAAAAATCAAAAACCGCTGTCAGCAGCTTGCGGTAGTGTTAAATAATACAAAAATAATTTTTTTAACAGAATCTTAAGAAAGATTATAATCATTTAATAAACTCAAAAATAATTTATAGCAATAGACGAGCTTAAAATATCTGAAATATTTTATATTTTTAATGCGAGCTTTGCGAACTTTAGAAAATAAACTAAAGAAATTCTACAGTAATTTATGATAAAAAAAACTTTTATACAATAATAAGTAACTAAACAAAATATTTAGTAATTTATAGTAATATTTGAAAAAATTTGATAAAAAAATAAAGAATTTTTAGATTTCTTATCAAAGTATACTATACTAAAAATTTGGAAATATGTTATACTAAAACTTTAGAACTAAACGCACTTGAATAAATTATCAAGTCTTTGAGGAACTGGCTAAAATGGAGACAGTGAGCTTCGAATAAAACAACAAAATTTGTTTTTGTTGGTATACCTTTATTTTTATTTTTTACTTAAAAAAATTTTGCCCAAACTTTTTTTTTATCATTCTTTTTAATATGAACACAACTTGTCTCGGCACTTTGGGATCCCTTTAAAAAATTGCTAGTTCCCTCCGTCGTGGGGAAGGCATTGACTTTTGCTGGTTTAGGTTAGTTTAAATCAAGATTTCATGCTGCAATAATAAAATACATGCACTGACAGGTTTCCAGCTTGGTGCTTTAGATTGAGCTATACACCTAATAATGATGTGCAAAAATATATTTATGTAAGCAACTAAAGTACTGTTCTAATATATTTTAAAAACTTGATTTATTTGATATATGATATGATATACTTGAAGCAATTGAGTAACATGGTCGCTTTTATTAATCATTTTAAAACAAACGAAACAAATTAGATAATAAAATAGTAGGAATTTTTTTTTTTTGCTTTTTTTCAGTTTAGGTTCTTTATATATTTAGTTTTTGCTTTTTCAAGTTTATTACATTTAAATATTTCATATTATTACATTTAAATATTTCATTGAAATAAATAGTTGTTTTAAAAATAAAGATAATAAAATAATTTATTGAACCATATAGTACTTACAAAAATATTTTAATGTCAATTTGAAATTTAAATATTTTCTAGGTGTTTTGGAAATGTTTATCTGAAAATCCAGCACATTGGGTAAATGAAGTCAATGAGCAAAGAAAAATTTATACATCTATAAGAAACAAGGTGAGAAAAAAATTAATTAAACGAAAATTAAATAATTTGTATAAATTACATTTATACAAAATATTTACTGATTATTATTTTGTTTTGTTTTTTATTTTCTAAAGATTATCTAAAGATGAGACATTAAAAGTTTATTAATCAATTTATTTATTCAAAGACTTTGCTATTAGAAGTAATGATGGGCAAAAAGAATTGTCTGAACAATAGTTAGAGAGGTCTTCATGATCTTCAGAAATTTTAAAAATCAAAACCACAAATATATTTATCTAATACTTTTGTAAAACTGCAACATTAATGTTATAAGCTATGACCTCAAGTTAAAGTGTATCAAATTATGACCACAAGTTGTAGAAAAGTTTAAGTGAGAAATAGTTTTAGGAACAGAAGCAGGAATGCTTCTGTTCCTAAAACTAAATATAGAAAATATATAAAAATGAAATATATATATATATATATATATATATATATATATATATATATATATATATATATATATATATATATATATATATATATATATATATATATATATATATATATATATATATATATATATATATATATATATATATATATATATATATATATATATATATATATATATATATATATATATATATACATATATATATATATATATATATATATATACATATATATATATATATATATATATATATATATATATATATATATATATATATATATATATATTTATATATATATATAAACACCATAGTGTCAGACTAAAGACCATAGTGTCAGAAAAATATAAAATAGACCATAGTTTCCTACCTTTTGTATCAATTTCTTGCAAAAATAAAGAAAGAGTTAGTTCTCTAGATAGTTGTTTTAGTAGAAAAGATAAAATGATTACGAATAGAAAACTGCACAAAAAGGAGTAAACCATGTGGTAGAGGCTTGACATAAAACCAACATGATAGATTAAAAGCTTTCATACTTGCCTGAATCCAAAATTTGGCACATATAAAAGAAAATTGTAAAAAAGTTGTACTTTCTTTAAAATCCAAAAAGATTTTTCAAAGAAAACACAATTTTCAGTTAAGAAACAAAAGATACTATCCCAAGGCTCATCACACAAAAAAAAAGAATTATATTCTTATAGTTAAATAATTATAATATATAATTTATGAATATTTGTATTTAATAATACTTTTTTTATTGTTTTAGGAACGTCATTCAAATTGACTTCAATTTGTTTAAAATAATTTCTTCCTTTTTTTTAGTATGTGATTAATCCTTATGAACAAGAGAAAGAGTTAGATTTAGAAAAACATCATCCTCTTTCACAATCAGAAGATGTACATTTTTTTTTTTTCTCTAGTTATAATTAGTAATAATTATAATAATTAGTATAATTATAATATAATTATAAATTTATAAGTTTATTGAAAGTTTTATTTACAATTATTATTTAATTATTACTTAATTAGTTTTATTTTTATTATTTAATTATTAATTATTAGAGCATTTGGCATAAATATTTTCAAGATAACGAATTGCGATCGTTAATTTTAATTGATTTAGATAGATTGTAAGTATTTTAAATTAAATACCTTTTGTTTATGGTAGCGCATTTGTTTTAATAGTGACACCTTTATTTCTGTTTTGTTTGTTTTTTAATCCAATTTTTTAGATCGCCTGAGCTTGAATTTTTTCAAAATGATAACATAAGGTATTTTTATTTCATTTTTATTAATTTAAACTTTATGTATTAATAGGTATTTGGAGAAAATTTTCTCTTGAAAAAAAGAGAGAATGTTTTTGGAAAAATGTTTTCTTTAGGTCTATGATTCTTCAAATTTTGTTTTGTTATGCTAGAGAAAAACCAGAAGTGTCGTACAAACAGGTTTTTACTTTATTTTTTTTTCTAATGTTTTTATAGAAGAATAAGAAAGGGCTATAGCTTAAACTTGTAGTGTTAAATATCAACCACGAGGTAAATGTGCAAATCTTTAATGTACAAAAAGAACTGATAAAGTACACAAAAATAAAACATCCTTTAGTTTGTTATAAACAAAAGTGTTTTGTTAAATTCCTTGAAACTTTAAATGTTACAAATACGACTCTTTATAATAAAGGTTAAAATTTTCAAAAACACCTCCTTATTACTTAGTTTTTATAAAAGAAGTTTTAAATTTTTAAAATTTTGATACTATGGTTTTTGGTTTATACTCAGTTAAACAGTCGAGCTTTGTTAATGCCTTTGTTTTCTTCTAAAAAGATTCTATATTTTCTTTTGAGAAAGCATGCAAAGCTTCTTGAATTTCAAATATACCAAAAAGTTAATGCTGTCTATAAGTCTGAATTTATTAAGAACCAAGGTAAAATGCGTCATATTACCAAGTAAAAACTTCTTAACTTTTACTAAATATTTCTAAAATTTTGTATGCAAAAATTGCAGGTTAAGTGCAGTGAGATTATGCTATTTAAAAATTTTATTATTTTAAATATTTTTGAAATTTTGTATGCAAAAATTGCAGGTTAGGTGCAGTGAAAGTATGCTATTTCAGTGATTTTTTTTTTTGTTGTTGTAAAAACTTAGGAAAGTAGATTTATAAACACTTTTTTTCTCATTTATGCTTTTCGGGAGTTGCTGCTCACTTTTCTTATTTACACTCTTTGGGAGTAGTTGCTGCTCACTTTTCTTATTTACGCTCTTTGGGAGTAGTTGCTGCTCACTTTTCTCATTTACACTCTTGGTATAATTGCTGCAAAGTTTAGTGTTGGTTTCTTTGTTTGTCTCCAAAGATATCAACATAAAATATAGTTAACTGCAATTTTGTAATTTTCTTTATTATTAAATTGATTACTTGTACTTATTGCTTTTAAAATATTTAGTGATTTAGCAATTTACACATCTAGGAGTTGTTTATATTAAACTTGGTGTGCAAAATCTGCTACAAAATGTACAAATATATCTTATATTATAAAACTGAGGTAGATGTCTATTGCCTGTCATACAGAATTATTTAAAGTAGATTAAAAAATTGTTTGAATGTGGTGAAGTTTTCAGTTGTTTAGATGCAATAACTTGATTTTAACACAGTGTTGTTTTGTTATTAAATGCACACACAGACATATATATGTATGTATGCAAACTTATAAAAGAATCTTTAAACATTCAATCCACCAACTACATTTGCATTGATGCATTTAAGTTAAATTGCAGTTTAATACAATTTGTTAGACTTTCAACAAAATATTATTGTAAATAAAGTAACTCAAAAATCTTGTGTTTACATCGTTTTTTAGAGTATAGCAGTAGTTAGAAGTAATAATAATAATTTTTAGTTAACTAATAATTATTAGTTAGTAGTAATATTAACTGTAATAAAAATAGTTATATTTTTTGATATAAATGATTTGTTTTAAAGGGAATGCATGAAATAATTTCTGTGATTGTTTATGTAATCATGAAGAACGCTACAGCTATTAAAGATTCTAAAGAAGATTTAAGGTAATGTAAAAAAAAGTTTAAAAAATGAATAATTTTTAATTGTGTTTGGTCATTTGTTAGAAAACTATAAAACTTGCATGTCATTTAAATAAATCATGAGTTTATTTAGTAACAGTTTTACATAAGGTAATGATTGCATAAGATTATATTTTTAAATTATTTTTTTAAATGATTTTTAATTTCAAATTGTTTCTTTTTCAAATTTTGATTACCTAGACAGTTTATAAAAGTAAAATATTTTGACATTGTTAAACTTTTATTTCTATAAGCTGAAAAAATTTAACCTTTATCAGGTTATTCGACTATTTTTCATATTTTCAAATTTTGAAAGTTATATAAAACTGTATGAAGAATAAGTTTTAAAAAATGAAATTTAAAAATGTTTAATATCCATAAAATCATACTGCCATTTTTTATATATTGCACTTAAGAAGACTCTTAGCAAATTTTTGTAGCAAGATGCCTTTTTCAGAAATTGTTTTTCAGATTAGCATTTTTATTATTTACCTATGATACTACCACTATAAATATTATTACTAAAGATTTAGGAAAAATCTTTCACCTAATTTGAGATTTTATATCAAAGTTTTTCTTTCTTCTACATATGTTGCCTTCATCGCAAATAAAGAGCATTTACATCTCAGTTTCTGTCAGAGTTATAAATACTGATTGACTGAGGAATAACTGCATGATCTTGGAATTATTATTTATTAATTAATATAACTTGAAATCAGAATAGTGTTTATGTAAACAAAATGTTAACACCATAAATTGATAATATATTGCCTAAAATTAAAATAGTTGGATAATCTGTTGATATCTTCTTGTTTAATTTATTTTTATCTTCTTGTTATCAGCAGTGATATAAAAATCATCATGGATTATCAATTTGTTGAACACGATTCATAGTAAGAATTTTAATTTGGTTTTCAGTTTTATAATTTTATGATTTAATTGGTTTGTTTTGAAAAGCAAAGAAATAATGCAAAAAAAAAAATAATAATAATAAAATAATATAAAACTAAAATACTATTAAAAAATTTTTATTTTTTAAAACTGACTAATTGATTAATTGACTTGATGATTTAAATAAACTTTATTTAACAGCATATTATTTACAAAGATAATGGAGTCCATTCAATCTTGGTTCACAAATGTTCCACAACCGCAGGGTCTAAAACAAGTGGGTGGTGTTTTATCATTAAAGTTTGTTGGAATTTTTTATTTCAATAGTTATTTTTAAAAAAATTATTGTTGTTTAGATAATGAATATTTTTCATTTTAGGCACTTGACCAAAGAATATTTAAAAATCCTGATAATGAAGTAGTATGATATTGTTACTATTTCTATTTTACTCTTTATTTTACGTTTTTCTCATTTTTTTATTCCATTGTTTATCTCATTTTATTTTAATTGCGTAATCAGCAAATCAAATTTACATTTTTAGGTAACAGCTATTTCTGAAAAACTTAATAGGATTCAAGGTTCTATGTTGAATAAATATGACAGTGCCCTATGCCAACATCTTCAAAAAATTGATATAAGTCCTCAGCTGTATGGAATGTAAGAAAATTTCTTGATTTTTGTTGCTGTTCTTGCTGTTCTTGCAATTTTTAGTATTAACATGTTTTTTTAAATAAAAATAAATAAATAAATATTATTTATAATATATTTATAAAGTTTGGACATTATTCATAAAAGAAGCAATTTATAAAAGGCACAATTGATTGTAGAGATAATGGATTCAAGAAATAACTGAATTAAAGTTCACTTGATATGAAATAACTGATGACATTTTGATTATCAGGTTTATTAAGAGAAAATCAAAAGCAGATAATATTAGAGAAAATCATTGAAAATGTGGGTGGTACAATTAGTCGGCTAATGTTAAATTAGTTTTTTTGCTTTTTTTAAGACTTGTTTTATTGGATTTAATTTAATTTTACATTTAACATACTTTGACTTCAATAGCTAGAAAAATATTAATTGCATCAATGCCTCATGGTAGATGACATGGTGAGTAAGATACCTATCAGAGTCCTTGGTTTAAATCAGATTAAATAACTATTTGACTCGTGCTTTTGAATTTGGTCTAAATAAAGCCATATTGAGTAAGTCATGGCAAACTCAATGTGGCTTTCTCAAAACCAATGTCACAGATTCTGGTAAATTTATACAAACTTTATTGAATGTTTGCCTATGTAACAAACATTCAATAGAGAATGTTTGTCTACTGTTAATAGTCATTTGAGAAGAAACTAAAATTTTTTTAAAATTGAAACTGATGCCGAATCAAATGGTAAATCATCTGTTGGACTCACATTGATTTATGGGAGGATATCTTAATGTTTTCCTTTTGCAATTCTTGTCTAAATCAATATTTCAGTCAACCCCTAATAATAAGCCCTCTTCATTTGCGCTTTCTTTGACTGGAATTCATATTTAAAAAATATATATTTATTACTTTTAATTCAAGTACCAGTTCATGCGGTGGTCACACTGAACAGTTTATGGTAAACACAGTTAGGGTTAGGGTGCGGTGATAATATAAACACACTAAACAAATTAAAAAACTAGGTAGAAAATTCTGCAAATTTTTCATTATTCTCTGACTGAACTTTTGTATATTATCCTTTGATTTTTTTTTTTTATATAACAAAATCAAAAGTTTTACACATTTAATTAAAACTATTTTGATTATTTGAACATTATTTATGATTATTAAAAATTTGAATTGTTTCAAATAAGTTTTGATTTTATTAATCAGCTATTACACAAGCTAATACTTTTGTTGTTAACAAATTAAACTGTAAATAAAGATTTATACAACTTTTAATATTTAATAAATTGTCATTAAGAATAGTAGTTGTGTAATTTATTAGTAAATGAAAGGTACGTCAAAATTAGAATAAATTAACTGTAAAATGGAGTTTAGAATGGTACCCAGTTTTTTTTTTTTCAGTAGTCATTAAAATGAGCTCAATTAGATAAAAATATTTTTAATCATTTATTGCCAACCTTCTTTTTCAATTGACTAGAAAAAAATTTCAAACTTTCTTTGTATAAATTATAGTTATTTATTTTATTGTGAACAAAGAAAATGTCAACACAGACTGACAAATAATTTTTTCTTCCTTATGTTATAATCATAGAAGCAGTTTGTTTTAATTGTTCAATTATTATGGTTTCTGTTTTTAGTCGTTGGGTAAGACTTCTTTTTGGAAGAGAGTTTTCTTTGAATAAATTATTAACACTTTGGGATGCACTATTTGCTGAAGGAGCAATTCTTGATTTAGTTGACTTTGTTTTCCTTGCCATGCTTATTAATCTTCGAGGAGTTTGTATGTTAAATTTTTTGTTTGTTTGTTTGTTTTAACATTTTAGTTTATTTTTTTGTACTTTCATTGGTATTTAACTTATTTTGCATACTTTATTTTTACAATGTCATTTAAATATTTGTTTGTTTTAACATTTTAGTTTATTTTTTTGTACTTTCATTGGTTAATTAACTTACTTTGCATACTTTAACCTATTCATATTTGTAAATACCACAGGTGTATACACACACACATATATATATATATATATCATGTATATATATATACACTACATATATATACATGTGTATATATATATATAAATATATATATATATATATATATATATATATATATATATATATATATATATATATATATATATATATATATATATATATATATATATATATATACATGTATATATATGTAGTGTATATTCCAACTCCAAAGTAAAACTTTTGAAATATTCTTTGAATTCTTTAAAAAATGTTATGCAATAAGTTAAAAAAAATTTTTTTGACAAATTTATGGAACGTTCTTTGAGGTTTAGTATAAACATAAGGTTAATTGAATGTTTTATACATGCACGTGCAATACCAAGAAGTTTTACTATTGGAGTAGGAGTCGCGATTTTGTTTAGCGACTCCGACTCCGCTAAAAATGTAGCAACTCCGCAATTCCAACTCGGACTCCACATATATATATATATATATATATATATATATATATATATATATATATATATATATATATATATATATATATATATATATATATATATATATATATATATATATATGTATATATATATAGTGCTTCCAATACCGGTAGTACCGGTACCGGAATACCGGTATTACCGGACATTTTTAAGTACCGAAATACCGGTATTGGTTTGGCTCAATACCGGTATTAAAAATATATGTAGAGGGCTTATGATATAGCAGGTGCTATTGCCCTCTTTACGTGAAACACTAAAGTAAATGAAATACTTAAAACTTTCAACAACGCTTCCGGTAGGAAAAAGATAGCTAGATGAGAAAAGACATGTTTAAATTGTTTAAAAAAAGTATTCTACGTACTTTATAATTAATATCTAGTTGCCAGCTCATTTCCCACTAGGTTTGGTAGGAAATGAGCTAGCAACTAGCCAGCAAACAGCTAGCGTTCAAGACGTATAAAATACGTAGAATACTTGTTTTAGACGATTTAAACATCTTTTTCTTACCGGAAGCGTTGTTTGATCGTGACTGGAAGTTTTAAGTATTCCATTTACTTTCGTGTTTTCATTAAATAATGAAGCACCAATTTAAAATATTATCATTACGTCACTCGCTTTAATGTAGAACGCATGTTTGAATTTTGCACTAACGTAAATATGAAAAGTTTCAGTAATGTAGAAAGTGGGGCGTTTAAGTAACTGTGATCAACAGTTGTGCATTAGGCATGGGATTCAACTAGGTATTCAAGATATTTTGTCAAAAAAATCGTCAATTTCTGCAAAAAAAACTTAAGTAATATGCAATAACAGAGAAAGTGGAGAGGAAATACTGATGACACAAACATAACCAATAATGATGAAGGCTTTTCCGGTGGGTTTCAAGTTGTAATGAGTGAAGAGAATGACTCTATTGAACTGACTGATGATTTGCAGCCGTTAATCAAAAAGGTGTGCACTGTTGTGAAATTTTTATTTCGCCGTTCTCCGACAAAAAATGATCAAAATTCAAAAACGCACGTTAGAAAAATTTGATAAAGATATTCCACTAATACTTGGATCCAAAACTAGCTTGCACACAGTACTCGAACGTTTTGTATAATTGAAAAAATGCATTCACGAGTCACTTTTTGCCCTTGAGTCCAAAGTTGAGGTAACTAATAATGAGTCCGATGCAATATTAGCTGTTAACTTATGTCTTGCGCCAGTAAAACTGGCTGTGGAAACATTGTGCCAAAATCATGCAACTCTGTTGATAACCTTTGAGAAATCGATTTAGCTGTAAAGTTATGCTGGTGCAACAATTCAATGAGCAATGTACTCTTTTTCCAGCATACAACATTTTTGCACAAGGGACATCAACGTTACAAGAATTTGGATCTAGCTCTATCTTTTGAGCACTATAGCAAATTAGCCATTGTAAATACCATTACTCGACTGAAAGATCGGCTCAATCAAAAAGGGTATAGTCCTCTCCCTTTCACCAGCGTTTTTTCCGATAGTGATTCTGTGGACAACGCTGTAAACTTGTCATTGAAAAAAAAGCTTGACTTTGCAATTTTGAAAAATAAGAAATTTAACAACAAGGGAAAATTGAATGTTTCGAATAATTCATCAAAAATTATATGTATTGAAATAGGAATTTTTGAAGAAGGAGGAAATCGTTGTATATATTTGCAAGATTCCTACCATTACTTGAAAACTGTGAAGTCAAAAAAGTTAGATGATCTTTTGAAGATGATGTTCTGAACGCCCTATGTTTTTTACGGGCTCATTTTACAAAGCAGAAAAAAGCGAAAAATGAAAAAGTCAGTAGTTTTGATATAAAATAAATAAGCTGATTGAATCAATAAAATTTTTAATATTAACTTGAGATTTTATTTAGATTATGATAAATTTAAAAATAAAGTTTAATACCGGTATTATACTGGTATTACCGGTATTGTAATTATTTAGTACCGATATACCGGTATTGAAAAATGGTATCGGTATTGGAAGCACTATATATATATATATATATATATATATATATATATATATATATATATATATATATATATATATATATATATATATATATATATATATATATACACTAACACATACATATATACAAAAGTGTGATGCTATTTTTTTATTTTCTTATGAAACCTTTTCTATAACATGAGTAATTTTATTCTAAGATCAATTTAATGAAAAAATAGTTTTTCAATTTAAAATTTTAATAGGTCAAAAAAAAGTTACCTTACAGAAATTAGATTATATTCTTATCAGAAATATTGGAAATTTTGTATTTTTTTTTTTAAATAGCTGAGGTAAATAAAAAATATAATATAAAATTAACTTAACTAATATTGATGAAATGCAAATAATGTAGTTCAATTTTCGATTTTAGTACTAATATATTTTCATAAAATTGTCTTGCATAAGTGCTATGGAAGCATCAAAGAGAAAGACAAACAGCTTTAGACCACCATGTTCAAAAGAAATCAGGTTACTGGCGGCATTAGCTGTTGCATATGGATTATGGAAAAAAGCTTGTTGAATTTTAAAACTACTCTAGAAGTTTGGTACATTCTTGGCTACAACCTAGCTGACACATGCCCTGCTCTGCAATCTGTTATGCAAATAGTTGCCAAAGTTTTAGAACAGATCTGGAATATGAAATTTAGCTTGTTTTCAGTATCCAGAACTGGCCTTACAAATAAGTTGAATGGTTGCTTATAAAACATGTTTGAAAAGAAAATTTACTATGGATTTTCTTATGACATTTGCTGTCTTCAACCAAGCCAAACAGTTGTTAACATTGGCTAGCAAAAGCTCTTGATTTTGTTAAGAATTATATACAAGGTCATACTCTCTGCAAATGATTTAACAAGTAGTTACATTTTATTTTAGGATTTTATTATAATTTTATAAAATGTGTTATATAATTATTGTTATATGTTGAATTAAACGAACCATAAAAAAGGAAAAATATATTTTTTCTCCAAAAAGTAACATTCTTTTTTTGACTTTAAGTAAATGACAATATTTAATGATTTATTTTTAAGTTGTGTTTTGAATACAGTTATTTATAAATTAGAAAAAAGTTACTGCATCACACTAGTGTGAATATGTGTGTGTTTGTGTTGCCATTTTTTTTTTAAACCAAATAAAACTAACCCAAATACAAATTATGTAACGTTTTGTTTAGATTAGTTTTATACATTTAAGTTTTATGACTTGTGAATCTCAAATTATTTAGAAGTAAAAGTTTACTTTCCTTTTAAAAATAGTATATATAAATGAAATTTATATGACTATTTTTAAAGTTTAAATATTTAAATTATATAATTTTTTTTTGGTTTTATATAGTACTCCAGAATGACTTTAATAAATGTTTATTTTACCTGATGAAGTATCCAGCAAACACTGATTCAAAATATATACTCAAGCAAGCACTTTCACTTAAAAATCATGTAACATTTCATTTTAATACTGAATGTACTTATTTAATTTTACATGTTGAAAATACTGAAAAAAAAATGTTTATCTACAGTCTCGAATAAAGAGGAGTAATGACCAAGCAACAACCAAACATTTGCAACAACATAAAGTTCATCCAGTGCGAAACAGATTAGGGAAAACAAAGGAACAGTTGGTACTTTTTTTGTTATTATTTTTTTATTGCTTTTAGTATTTGTGTAAATACTTATAAATATTTGTGTAAATATTAAATTTAAAATTATATCTTTAAATTAAACAATATTGTGATAAAAAAAGTTATAAATTAAATTTAAATGTTGATTAAAAAAATATTTCCTTATTTTAAAATCTTATACTTATTTAAACTTAATTTTCTTTCTTTAAAAATTTATTTTTACTGTTATTTTTTTTTAAATGAAGGGACACTTGTCTATGGTTGATTTTCTTAAAGGGATTTAAGTGTACATAGTTAAAATGGGTTTTCTCCTTTTTAAAAAAACCTTTGCGTTACTGGCTTCGGATAAAATAAAAATTATATTTAAATGAAGATTACCACTTTTTTAAAATTCTTTTATATAAAATTTAATGGAAAAAGGAAACCCCTAACATAAAATTTAAACTTGAGTTAGAAAAAACTTTTTTGTATTGACGTCATTTATAAATTTATAAAAGCGCATTATTTAGACCAGTATTTGAAACTTAACTGAAATTAAAATGAAGTTATATCTAATGCAAACATTTTAAAGTAACTTGAATTAAATTTATTAAATTTTTTTTTTACTTTAACATAAATTTTGGAAATTTTATCAGTAAAAAATTGTAAAAAAAAAAAATTGTTTTGAAATTTTTAAAAGAATTTTAATTAAGTTTAATCAAATAAATTACTAAAACTATGAATAATAATAAAATTAATTTAAATTTAATCAAATAAATTAAAAACATTTTTTTTTTCAAAAATGGAAAATAGAAAAAGGATATCTATCTGTTTTTTTTATCTAATCGAAAAAATATTCCACAAATGTTTTTTACAACAATTAATTACATTTAGTGTTTTCCGCATAATCTGTCTTAAAAGACTGTTTAAAATAAACTTATTGAAAAACGTTTTTGCGAACTGTAAATTGCAAAACGCATACGTAAAATCGTGACTACGTACGTAAAATTTATATAGGGAAATGCTTTTTAATAAGGCCTGTACATACATACATACATACATACATACATACATACATACATACATACATACATACATACATACATACATACATACATACATATATATATATATATATATATATATATATATATATATATATATATATATATATATATATATATATATATATATATATATATATATATATAATTTTATTTTAGTTTTCACAATCTATAAATTCAGGGAATCAAATCGAAAAAACAGAAGAATTAAGAAATAAAAAATATTTTGTTGAAAATGCTGAACCATTGAATTTAAGCGATAAAAAGTATTTTGATAAAAATATTGATCCATTACCTCTATTTAATGGTGAGATTTTTTTTTTAAATAAAATTGTAAATTATTATAAATATTTTTTAAACTTTTATAAAATAATTTAATGAAAAGTAATTGTTTTATGTTTTTTTTAATTCTTATATCACTCCACTATTCTTTTGTGTTTTTAAATTTTAAGATTATCAAATAAATGTAATTAATAAATATAGAAAATCGAGTCACTGACGCCAGCACACGTTTAGCATCACAAATATCACAATTTAGGACCAAAGTTAATTCTCTTCAAAATCCTTTGAAAAATATTGTTACAAGTAAGCAGACAAAAGAAATTGCAGAGGTACAATTCTTGTTTTCAAACAAAATATCAATCAATAAAATAAAGACTAAAATGTTGAGTTTAATTTTCTGATTTTTAGGATAATGAAAACTTGCAAGAACAGTTATGTGACCTGCAAAATGAATTTAACAACCTACAAAATCTTTGTAAATATTGTGGAGATAAAATGGAATCATATATAAGTAATTAATTTTTTTGTTACAATTTATTTTTTATTTTTCATAAAAAAATAAGTCTAAATGTACTAATGTCTTTTCTTCCACAGTTTTTTCAGTTTTAATGTTATATCGTTTTTCATCTATTTAGAAGCTAATTAATGAATTAAGTTTTTAAATTTTTTTATAGATCTTTTACAACATCGTCTGCTTAAAGAGGAAATCTTTAATGATGAAATAGCAATATTAAGTATTGCTGGTTTAAAACAGGTTTTTGTTTGTTTAAGAAGTATATTATAAATATTTTTAAATATATATATATATATATATATATATATATATATATATATATATATATATATATATATATATATATATGTATATATATATATATATATATATATATATATATATATATATATACAAATATATGTATGTATATGTATATATATATATACATATATATATGTATGTATATGTATATATGTACTTATATATATACACATACAGGTTAGGCCAAAATGATCCGACCACCCAATCTTTACTAAGGAAAGTTGTTTTTTTTTGCTCTGTACACAGTTATTATTAGAAAGCATATCAATCTAAAAAACAAGATATATGAGTTTAAAATAATAAAGAAGTTGCAAAGAATAAATAGGCTCTCAATATTTGAGCATTATTTTATGACACCATGCTTTTATTAAAATTTTTCTAAAATTTGTTTGTTTTTTTAGTTTGGTTACTGCTATTTAGTTTGTAATGTTTTGGTAATAGAAGTGTGAGTAGTGTTGTTAGTACCCGTTAGCATTGTTAGCTTAGTTCTAACATTTACTCTAGAAAGCAGTTGTTTATAGCCAAATGACATATCATATTGTGGGGTTTTAGTGGTTAATCTTGGATTCATAATAACAGGATTTCTTAACCTGTGATCTGTGGACCCTCATGGTTTTATCACATGATTGCTAGCTGATAGCAAGATATGTGCATTCTAATATTAAACAAAAACCATGTTTAGAAGCATCATACAAAGTTATATAGCGCATTGCCCAACAAAAAAAGCTACAGACCATTGCTTAAACTCCTCTAAAGCCTTGTTTACTAGACTCATGGTGTTTGTATGTTATGTGCATTAAGAAAAAACAGCAGATGTATTTAGAATGATAAAAAGTTTTCTTGCAAAACATTATGTCCATTTAAAGAGTAAGTTTAGCCATTTGTGTAGAGTGTCTGTGATACTTAATAACACTTCTGGTTTTGCTAAAAAGAATGTCAAGAAAGATGTTTCTAATGTCACTATAACTAATTGCTTCTTACACCAACATGAATTAGCATCACAAACCTTGCCTACTTTCTTAGAAGACTAGTGGTATTCCACAAAAAGCTAGTGGTATTTCCACATGATCAAAATAATTAACTACATAAGACAGAGCTTTTTATTGCTGGATGTATAAGGATCCATTGTCATGAAGTAGGATCTGACTACAAGTACATATATATTCTCTGATTATCAAGAAGACAAGTTTTGAAGCGCTTATCCAAGCAAAATAAATAAAGAACATTGTATCAATTTCTAGACACTAAAAACTTGCAAAGGCTAGCTTACTTTTAACTAGCCAACATTTTTAATTATTTGAAGAATATAAACCTGTTTCTCAGGTTCCTGCCATCACTATCCTGGATACAACTATAAAGCTAAAAGCTTTTTTGGTGAGTTGTAACTTTTGAAAATAAGATAGGGTGTAAGTGTTACCTTGAGTTTTTGTATGTTAAAAGAACTGCATTTGCACAGGTAAGTGCAATTAGCAAAAAGTTTAAATGAATTTAATTAAAAGAAAGTCTGAAAGAAAACTACAAAAAAATGTCTGAAAATCTCAAAACATAAAATGCTTTTAAATTGTAATTTTGCCCTAAATGTCTTAATCAGAAGTTTTAATATCAATGATATCAATTAGAAAGTGACCGGGGCCCTGGTTTCGGGTAAAAATAAAATATTTTGCAAAACCAGCCCTGGCCCCAGCAAAATTATAAAAATAAGCAGAGGGTAATAGGCTAGAAAAAAATTTATAATAATTTATTTATTGTAATTTTATATTTATAATCTATATTTATAATTTTATAATCTAATACTTATTAAATACTGGCATGTATTTATATATATTTTTAATTTTTTATTTACTTTCAACAAGGTTGCAAGTAACCTCTATTAAGTTATGAATTACTTTAAAATAGAGGATAGGGTTTAAAAGCTAGAAAATAGTTAACTGAAGACTTATAAACTTGTAGGTTGTGTATAAAAAGAAAATATGATGATGGGTTTTTAGTGTCTTGTCTAAAAGTGTCTTGTCTAAAAGAACTTCTCAATTCGTCTAAAAGATTTTCTCGTGTAAAATTTAATTAGTTTCCTTACTTATGTTTTTTACATAAAGTCTACTTAACTTTTTTTTAACTAAGTTTGATGAGCAAAAGTGCCATGGATAACATCATGTCATGTCATCACCTAAATGTTATCACTATAATTTTATCATTTGCAACCTAATTCTTTGAAGGGCATTCATTTTGCTTTTAAAAAGGATGCTTTAATTCATTCATAACTTAATTTAAATTTAACATTTATAGTTTATTATAACTTAATAAGAAACTGCAGTTTGGAGTTGTAAGGAATTATTACCGTATAAGATATATTTATGTATATATATAATATATATATATATATATATATATATATATATATATATATATATATATATATATATATATATATATATATATATATATATATATATATATATATATATATATATATATATATATATATGTATGTATTAATTTAATGTAAACCAATATAAAAAGTAAAGGGTTATTCAATTGTAAAACCAATATAAAAAGTAAATGAGTTATTCAATTGTACAACTTTTATTTAAAAATGAACTATGTGTGTGTATATATATATATACATATATGTATCATGTTGCAAGCTTTATAGTCATAATAACTAAATTGTTTTATGTGAAAGTGGAGTTCTGTACAAATCTACAGGTTTTTTCCAACTGCTAATTTATTGATCAGATTACCATAATAGTATCCTAGAAATTCATCATTATTCTTCACTCATTATTCTTCACTCTAGAAATTTCGCTTAAAATATAATTAATATTAGTGCATGCACAAAAAGTTTGTTTGTCTTTTCTTGAGCCTTCTCAGATATTATTCTAATGAGTAATTCTTCTGATAACTAAATGACTATAAAAAAAAAAATTATAATTACTAGATGTTGTGCAGTAACCATGGAAATAAATTTATATGTAAGCAACTTGTAAAAAATATTTTTTTAATTATAAAATATCAGTATTGCTACCTTGCACACAAGATAGTGTAAGTTAGCCTACATAAGGTTACACAAAATTTTATTGAGAGTTAATTTTGGTAAACTAATAATTTTTGATACTTTAATTAGTGCCAGAGCCATTTGAATAACCAAAAGTTTTTCCAGTTTTAGTTGAATTTTTATCTTATTTATTTTTTTACAGCTTGTTTTCAACAACTCTGTATGCTCTTCATTTTTTACTTTCACATTTGTGGACAACATCTAGAAAGCATTCCATGTATCCAGACATGTGATCTTGACATAATATTTATATTTCATTTACATATCCAAATCTAATTAGTTTACAAAACATTGTTTAAAACGGAACAATAGTTTTTACCAATAAATATTTTAAACAGTAAATATAGACCTATTAACTTTGCATAATAACCCATTAATTTTGCATAATAACTGAACCAACATTTCCATATAGAATTTTTTTGTTTATCTGACATATGCTGGGCATAAGTTAGCGTGTGTTTTATTTGCTATAGAATTTGATTTTTCGATAATTTGATTTTTAGTTAAATGCTCCAATTAAAGCATAAGCTTTATTTGCTGAAAAGTTTTTTTTATAAAGTATCTATTTCTTTTTTTTTGTTTAAGAAATTAACTCCGAACAAAACTCAAGGCAACACTATGTATGGTGGAAATTAAGGAAAATCAAATAGAGAAAAAGGGTTTGACTTATGACTTTAAAAACTGTTGTACCAGTCTTAAAAACATGAAGACATGATAGAATACCAAAGAACGAAAGTTTGAGGAAGAAACTAGCTGCCTCTTCATGCTCGAAATGTTTTTTAAACATGATTTGGTAGGTCGAACAAGAGGTAATAGCTTGTCAGATTTGGTAGGTCGAACAAGAGGTAATAGCTTGCTTTGAAAGTGATTATAATAATATTTCTAGAAAGAGAAAGAGATAAGCAACCTCATGGCAATTCTACAAGTTTAGCAACTAGAGCAGGTTCAACAACATTTGCAATGCAGTTTTTGGCCTTGAATGATAAAGAACATCATAAGAAGAACCAGCCTAATTATGAAAACTATCATATAAGGGCAGAGAGTTAGAGAGAACAAGAATAGATTCAGGCGTTAGGAAAAGAATCAGGAGTAAAAAAAAGATGAGCACTATAAAAAGAGGTAACCTTAGCAGGTAGTAACTTTGTTAGGGGTTGTATATATAGTTTGCACAAAAGGTTAGTGAAAGATAAATTGAGAATGCATAAAATAGAGGACTCAGTAAGAATGTTGTTACTGTTAACAGTCATAGACTGTTTTTTGTTCATTTTTCATGAATAATTTAATAGAATGAGTATACAGTATAAGTTATTGTAATATATGCGCTATTTAGTTTATATATACATCAAATATTCAATTACTGAAATGACCAAAAGTTGATTAAATATATACATCAAATGATCAATTATTGAAATGACCAAAAGTTAAATAATGGTTAAAAGTAAAAAGTATGTAAAAAACATTTTCCAACACACAAACAATCCCAGCAAACATTGTTTTAGTGAATTTGCAGTGGACCTATACAGGCATTTTTTAATGGTTCATTGAAGTTTTGCTCATTGGTTACTTAGTGGACTATAAGTGGCAGCCACTACAAATTTTTAATTTATTTTATTTTAATTTACTTTCCCAAGGCCGAGAAGGCCACTACAGATGAGAAGGTTACTTAATTGTGGTTATAACCCTCTCTCAACTCTATAACTCCGAAACACAAACCTTACAAACCTTGATGAACAAGGTCGCTGCACAAAGAAATAAGTTGAGCTTGGTACTACCATAGACATGGTGGGAATCAATTTCAGAACCTCTTGCTTATGAAACAAACACTCTGCCACTACACCACTACCAAATAGCCAGCTGATAACATTCCAACATGTTAATAGTGGCTAGTCATTGGCTAGCCTTTTTCGCCAGCTGCCACTAATGGTTCACTAAGTAATTGAAGAGCAAAACTACAGCAATCTGCTCAAAATGCTTTTATAGGTTAACTGAAATTCTGCTAAAGAATGTTTGCTGGGTACCCAGCAAACATTCTTTTAAAGAACATATTTTAGTGGATTTGCAGTGAACCTATATAGGATTTTGAGCAGTTCATTGGAGTTTTGCTCATCGGTTACTTAATGGACTATTAGTGGCATAACTTTCAGAAATGTTAATAGTGGCTAGTCATTGCTAGCTATTTATGATCCGCTAACCAATGGCATATGCATATATATCTAATATATATGATATATATATGCATATGCCATATATATATATATATTATATGTATATGGCATATGTATATATATATATATATATATATATATATATATATATATATATATATATATATATATATATATATATATATATATATATATATATATATATATATATATATATATATATATATATACTATATTACTGTACCTTAATTGTTGTTGTATTCTTTTTGATTTTGGTGAATGCATTAAAAATAATAACAATTGTCATGAAAGCATTTTAGTTATGAAAGTATATACAGTGTATATTTTTTATTTTGTTTGTTTCTTCTTTATTACTATTTATTTTAAAAAATTTCTTTTAAGTTGTGTGCAATTAAATAACAAGTAACAAGTAATTATAACCAAAATTTTAATTAACTAAATTTAATTCAATTTAATTATTTGGTTTTTAACTAATTTAGATTAAGTTTTCTAATTATGCATAAATTAGTGAAAAATAAAATTTCTTATTATGCATAAATTAGTGTAAAGTAAGATAAAATTATTTAAATTTATGTTAAATGTTTCTACCTTAACAACGAAAAAAAAATTGAAAAAGATAATCACAAATTTCACTATTTTTAAATTTAATAAAGTTTGATATTGCAACAAGCGCATTTTCATTTTCTTCTTTTATTTTTTTATTTTGCTTATTATTTTATTATCTTATTATAACCGTCTCTATGGTTATGTTTATATCTCTAAACTCCCCCCCCTCTCCCATGCTAAAACTTCGCCAACTTTTACTTCATCAAACAGGTTGCTGTGTAAAGTTACTTGAGATGTTGTATGGTTTCAATTTCCAATTTTTTTTTTCTAATTCCATTAAATTACAACTTTTTTTTTTTACTAATTCTACAAAACACGTTACCTTTGAGGTTGAAGTCCACGTGTTGTATGAGAAGGGATTGATAAAACTGTTTGTCATATTAAGGCTATTTATTTAGTCTATTTATTTATTACATATTGAGTATGGTTTTTATAACCATTTTATATAATTAAGATATAATTGGAGACTTACCATAAACTAAATGTTGTTTAAGATAATTAAAAAAGTTCTGTTTTGATTTAACCATCTGTTTTGTGTTTTGATTTAACCATCTGTTCTGTGTTTTTGTGGTAGAACAATTTTTCTGATTAATTAAGCAATAAATTATATATAATGTCTGATTTATTTCAATTAGTTCGTTTGTTTTTATTTTTGTTTAGTAAATTTGTTAGTAATCTTGAAAACAAAACATTAAACATTAAAAAGTTTAAAAAAATATTTTTATAAGCTTCGAGCATAACTTTTACTTTAATCAGTTCTTTCATCAATCTCCATCAATTCATTTTGTAAAAGTCTATTCAAATTTTAATTTAGGTTCGAGAAATTTTTAAAGGAAGTGCAGACTTAAATTTTCTCGATCATGAGGCGGATTTTAAAGACATTGATAGTCATATTGCTTTAGCTTCTAATAATCATAAACAATTTGCTGGAGGTAATGACGCTGCGAGTAGAAATACAGATGAAACAGACTTATTATTAGACAAACATTCTCGGAATGGTTTATATCAAGGACAGTCAAATAATAAAACAACCAATTGTATTTGGCCTACAGTTCCTGGAAATCTGAGTGTCTAAGTAAATCAGATCTAAAATTTAAATACTACATTTGGCATTCTAAGTTTGTTAGATATTGTTTCGATAATTTTTTCATTTGCTATACTTTTATACAAGTAAAATTATCACGAAGTGTATCGAAATTAAAACGAAGAAATACGTTGAATTTATCGGTTATCTGTATTTATCGATTTTGATGAATTGATTGATCTTGCTGAATTTTTATCAATGTCGATGGATATTTATCGATCTCAATGAACATGTAATTACTGTGACTTGAACTAAATAAAAAAAATACGGTTTGAAGGTTAAGGTAAAGGAATGTTTATAATTTTTATAATTTTTACCACATTTTTGAAAATCTCTGCTAATATAAATAAATTTATAATAAACTAAAACATAAAAAGCAAAACTAAAACATAAAAAGATTTTAAGTTGTTTTTGAAAATCTCTAGTTTCAAATTTTTTTCTCAAATTCATTTATATTAATTTTTTCAAGCTTCAATTCTTTATAGATTATATTTTTCTTTTCATGCTTAAATGCAATTTTTAGCTTTAAATAGGTTGTTGTTTTTCGTATAATTATATGAGTGATGAATTCAAAGTTTGTATTATTTAAAATTTACTGAATATTTTGATAATTTTTTTAAGCATGTAGTTATTTTGAAGTACTAGCATATTTCTTATGCCTTTGTCATGGTATCGAAATTTATCTGTTTATACAGGTCTGACGGAGTAGAGAAAACGGGAAAATCAAATCAAGTCAAATATATTCTGAATAAAGTTGTTATATCAAGGATACTTACAAATAGTTATTAGTACTAATATAAAGTAAACACCTGTCAGACTCAATAAAATTAAAGAGATAATAATAATAATTATAATACAAGTCGGAATAATAAAAGTAATAGTAGTGATTAAAATAATAGGTGCAATTATAAAATGTTTATACTATAATAATAATAATAATAATAATAATAATAATAATAATAATAATAGTAATGATGATGATAGTAATAATAATATTAATCATAATAGCAACAATAATAATGTAAAAACAATAGTATAAAACTAGTTATAATGATAATAACAACAACAATGATAATAATATTCATTATGATAAAAATAAAGTAATAATAACAACAATAATGGTAAATAGAATACAATTGAAACATTTCAGTTTAAAATGATGAATTTAATAAATGGTATTAAAATTTGTATTATATATCACAAGAAAAAAAAAAAAAAAAATTGATGGATAAATGGAAGCTCCGAGTCAAGTTTTTTTTTTTTTTTAATTTTATATTAGGTGCCGCAAGAAGTCCTTACGGTCTTATCACAGAGCACCGCGGATTAGCATTTAATTGAAAGTTATAAATAATAAGCTGTAATAAGATATAAGATTTATAAACAATATTTTTCTAAAAACTGGTTAAAGAGAGCAGTTTTAAATTTTGAGAATGATTTAAAAGATTTTAATTGGGAAGGGAGATAGTAGGTTAGTAAGCTTTTATATTAAATGGGTTCATCGCCGTAATGAACAGTTGAGTATTTTGGTACAAATAATTTAAAGTTGAAAGCAGATCGTATAATATACACACTAAAAAAAAGGTAAAAATTTCCACCTTAGGTTAGGATATGTAATATACCCTTATTAAGGTAAAATTTTATACCTTTAAAGGTAGAAAATTATAACAAAAAACAGTTATTTGTCATATAATTTTTCACCTTGAAAGGTAGAAAATTATACCTTACTAAGGATAAATCACATATCCTAACTTAAGAAGAAATTTTTGCTTGTTTTTTTTTAGTGTGTAGTTGCAATTTTCCCTATAACAAAAAAAATTGATAAATGTAAGAGGTAGGTTATTATGATTTTGGTTCCAAACAAATTGGCAATTTGATAGCTGAATAAGGTCATAGAATTTAAGGACTTTAGATAAAAAAGTATGCCACAGTTCGAATTAGTATGTTGGATATAATTTTGAAATAAAAAGAAATGTTTTAGATAAACATACTTTAGTACAACTATATCACTCGTTTATTCATGGTCACATAAACTATCCAAACATTGCTTGGGGTAGTACAAATAAAAATAATTTTAATTCTCTTTATTGTCACCAGAAGCATCTAGCAAGTCATATATATTCAATCTTTTCATAGATAATTTTATTAATATAATAAAATATTGATATTTCAAATTAAAAAATATTCAAAAAGAGTTATAAAAAGAAAAGAAAAGATATATAAAATAAACTGAAGATATGATAAGAAAGGATATTATTTTTACAATTGCAAAGATATTTTGCGATAACTATATTGCAATTTTAGATAAAGATAAATACAAACATACACACAAAGATTAAATAATTAATACATTAAAAGAAACGTATATCATTAGCAACTATTAAGAATAAAGAATTAGTAAAATTCATTTGAATAAATTTACAAAATTGTTTTGGAATTATTATTCCGCAAAATTAAAAATGTGTTTTTTTGCTTGAAACTTAAATGAGTCAAATGATTTTACCATATTCGAATAAGTGTTTTGAAAAGAATTCCATAACTTAGGTCCTCGATATGCTATTGAATATTCTCTATATTTATTTTAATTCTTTGGCAGTTTAAAAGATTTTGATCGATTTGTTTTTAAAAAATACTTTTCATTTAAATTTTCTCAAACTTACAAATAAAATTAGCTGGAGTTAATAATATATTTATACATGAAAATTAGGCACTGATAAAAATTTTCATCATTTTCATATTTCTCATTAAGGATTTAGTATGACAAGACCGTATGGGGCCATCCATAAAGGACGTCATCCAAATAGGGGGGGAAGAGGGTCGAGTTAAAAAGGACAAAAAAGGACAAAGGGAGGGGGGGAGGTTGTCAGAAAAGAACGTCACTTTATAGATTTTTTATTTTAGATTAATTAACATGGAAAACTACGTAAACATGTGTTTTTAAGAAGATAATGTATGAGAATATTTTTAATTTTATTTTTCAAGGGTGTAGCACCAGATTCAAACATCATTGCGAGATGAAATAAATTTTTTTGGAGTTCAAAAAAGGTCAGAGGGGGGGAAGGGGGTCAAAAATTAGCTAAAAAATGGTGACGTCATTTATGAATGGCCCCTATGGTCTTTTTCGAGTCCCCGCGTTCTTTTATTATTTAATAACGACCATTATATATATATATATATATATATATATATATATATATATATATATATATATATATATATATATATATATATATATATATATATATATTATACATTTGCATTTTAAATATTGTAACGAAATGCTTATTTAAAATGTAATAAAAAGAAGAAAAAAAAAATTAATTTTAGAGCTTTATTTTTGAGGAGGTCAGGTTATTTAAATGTCTGCAATTGAGTCTTAGCCAATTAGCAGCTGCGTTAGATATTCATTAAAAAAACTAATACTTTGTATTCGATGGGATAACGAAAGTATACTATGAACTGGTGGGATAACAAAAGTATAACTATGAACTGCTGGAACCAAAGTAAACTATTAGTGCTGAATGGTACTCGCTACAATTGAGATTGATTGAAAAAACCCTTTAGAAAAGTAATGAGCCAGGTTACAAAACTTTATACTACAGCAGAAGAATGCTCGTTCTCATGTGTCGATAAAAAGCAAGAAAACTATAATACTAGGCTGAAAAGTTTTGCTGTATCCTGCGTATTCATCAGACTTGGCGCCATCAGATTATCTTGAGGCTTCATTAATTTGTCAAAATGCTGCGGTTTATCATTTTATCAAATTTTGTTAAAGTTTCCGCATTTGGTACTTATCCGAGTAGGGCCGGCGTGAGTAGGTGTCACGTGGGGAGGGATGTTCCATTGCAACTTTTGCCGAATAAAATAAAAATATAAAAAAAAAAAGGTCCTTGTTTTTTAAACTTTGCCGACTGCCTTTACGACATTTGCCGACTGACTGTCTAAATTTACCGACTAACTTGTCGAAAAGGTCTATATTTGCCGACTAACTAGTCAAAAAGGGTCAAATTTGCCGACTAAATGAACTAAAAAATTATTGATGAGGGGTGTTGCACCCCCACACCCCTCTATCGCGCCGGCCTTGTATCCGAGCTATTGTAAAAATTGAACAAAACATAATTTTTTCAATTATTCGGTTTTTTGGAAATATATTTTTTTTACAATTTATTTGTGAAAAATCTCAACGCAATGAAAATTTAATTTAATGTTTCAATAAGCATAAAAAAATGGATTTATTCTATTCTCAACAATTTAGGAAGTTAATATTTATGTGTTTGCTGATATGTCACTAGCAAATACTTTATAATATTTTTTAATCAGCATTTTTACGAACTTTCTTGCTTATTGAGCCTTGGTGACAAAATTGTAACAAACTTGTTTTTAAATAAAGTGCTATTTAACAAGTCACTTTTTATTGTTCCAGCAAGACCTTCCTCTATCTATAAAAACTATATTGAAAAAGATAATTTTATGGCTAACTCACATTCAATTTTTGATTTGTATGTTCAACATATAGATGTTATATCATCGATATGTAAATATCATCGATCATTATACAATGTTATATCGACCTTGTATCTTCAACTGGCTAGTTAAACATACAAGGTCGCAAATTATTAATGAGATTGAAGATTTAGAGCAAATATTAATTCTTTCTGATTACTTGACTTGTTTTTTTATTTTAAATTTTTTCACTTCTAAAGATTATTTGTAAGACTTGTCTAATAAAAATCTTATATTTTCTAGAATTTCATTATAATCATTATTGCATGTGTAAGTGCAAATCTTGCTCATTTTACAGTAGTAGGAAACCGTTCAGATAGTTCTGGATGTCTTTTTTATGTTTATAATTGAAAACATATTTTTTCAAGGTGCATTATTTTTTAAACACATGAGCTTGATTTAATCTTTAAACGCTTGAGTCTGACGTATGAGCGCCCCCCCCCAGTTTTTTTTTTTTGGAGAAAGGTGACCTTTTCTGATTAGAAAATAATCCACATGAATGAAAATTCAAATGAAACATCTTTTCGAAGTTTAATTTATTTCAATAATTTTTTGGTCAATGATTTTTTGGTCAATAATTAATGAACGCTGTATCCATTTTTCGATTAATTTTGACTAAATATTGACCCCAAAAAAGTTCTTAATACCATGTATTATAAACTTTTTTAGCGTCAATATTTAGTCAAAATTAGTCGAATGATAGTTTTTCGGTGCAGTTTTTTATTTATTTTATTTTATCAAAAACAGAAGTTTTTTTTAATTTACATATCAGTTTTCGTAATACTGTACTATATTTCACATCCTTGCTTGTAATTTTAATGTAGTAAATGTTCAGTGAGTCGATTTATAAAAAGTAAAATATTGTTTTTGCATACTTTTTTTTAATCTTTTGATAAAACAAATTTAATCTTTTTGATAAAATTTCTTGAATTAGTAAAGAGTATTTACTATAAACAGTTAAAAGCCTCACAACGTTATCAAAAAAGCGTCCATAGAGTCCGATAGAGTCACCACTGGTCTCATTTTACAACATTGGAAACGAGGCTACCACCTAGCCTCATAATGAAAATTTTTGACAAACATTCGTTAGAAAAAATAAATAAAAATAACTAATAATGCAAAAAATCTTTTCTAATAGTTGTAACATCTAAGTATTTTCAAGGTAAGACTTAAATGTTACAACTTTCAGAAAAGTAAACATCATCATATTTCGTATATTCATTTCTTAATTACCTTATAGAAAAAACTTGAAAGTGGATTATAAGTAATACAAAATTTCGATTATTCGAAGTGAATTCTATTATTTTATTTTATTAGCAATGTTACAAAAAAATTTAATTGAAATAAATATAACTTTAGAAAAATACTCATGAATCGGTGAATGTTAAAAGGGCGGAAGTCCAACAATGTAAACTTTAGGGAAACTAAAAAAAACAGCACTGCTTCCTCATTGAATTTTTGTTAATAGTTTAACAACTTTTTTTTTGAAGGGGATAATGTTTTTTATCTTAAATGCAGAAATATATTTTTTCATATTTATTTTTAAAGAACCTATAAACCAATTAACACTGTGGACTTCAGCCCTTTTAACATTCAACAAATAATTTCTGCTTATTTTATTATGATTTTAATTTTGGGCTGTAGAAAATAAAGTCACAAACTGCAATAAATCTTCTCAAATTATACATTTATGAATTGTTTATACAATATTAACAAAAATTATAAGGAAAAAAGTCTATTACAGAAATTTTATCAGCTATGCTTAATCATTTACCCCAGCATCTTCTGCTTCTCCATCGTTGCTTTCTGCTGTAGGCCATTGCAGTAGTTCATTATAAAAGTCAATATGTTTATGTGGAATATACTTAATTCACTTTCTTAAGTCATTAAATTTAGCAGATTTTATTTGGACCTTTTCGTTTGGGTAAAGAAGCTGTTCTGGCAGGTTAATTTTGTTTTGAGTATTTTTTCTCATCACAAAAGTATGTTTGACTATGCCATTGATAATTTGACTGGCCTTACATTGACCTATGTTGTCACAATCATATTGAAAATGGTGAAATTTGCTTATTGCAAACAGAGTTTGTTGGCTTCTGGGTTTACCCATTGTTTCAATTGAGGTAACGTTTCTTTTATAATGGACTGGACACCAACTTTTAACATCGTAAACTAGAGATGAACTCTCTACATCAACCACAAAAAACTTTTTTTGATTACTATTTTTTAATATAATGATTTTTATTTCTTGGACGCTGTAAACTCTGTCAAGCCTTCTTAACTCTCTTTTTATAATCAAAAAGTCACGGTCACAGGACAAAAAGCTGTGCTCTCTGATTGGGAAAAATTGATTGATCTTTTTCATCGACTTATTGTCAGTAAGCGCCATAAAAAGTTTTGAAAAGCAATGGTTTTTATTTTGCCCCCCACAACTATCGGCATAAAAGTTGAGTTCATCATACTCTTGAGGACAGGTAGACAGGTAGTGCAAAAAAAGGAGCAAGTTTTATTTGGAGACTTTCTAGCCTGCCCCTCGTGATAAAGGTTGAGAGTTGCAACATTTCTCTTCACATCATGAATAGAAAATACACTAACTGTTAACTGCCTTAGGTAAAATAACTCTTGCACAGGTATTTTGCGTAGTGAAATGTTTTGTATATAATCTACTGCTAGGGACAAAACATTTATATTTTTTTCTTCCCTAGCGTCCTGTACATCTTGTTTTATGGCTTAGTAAAATTTTTTTGCGCGTAAGTTATGTACTGCCAATTCAGTTACTGCTGTTTGCTTAGCAACTTTATTAAGGTGAGGTGATTTTATCTTTAGCTTTAGCTCTTCGCATATGTAACAGGTGTCTACTTGATGTTGCCCGAAACGTAAATGAAAGTGCTTATTGTAGTAGTTAAAATAGAACTTGTAACTGAACTATACCCCTTCATTTTTTTCATCAATAGTTCATACATTAATTTCACGCTCAAATCTTCACTCAAAAAATACCTTTCCTTTCCGCCATAGTGGATCAGTTTTTTTGGAAAGGAGTCTATGTAAGCGTATACCTTAGTTAGTATATCGTGACTGGTAATGTAACTTGTATGTACTCCTCTCAAATCTTTAACTGCTTTTCAATCCATTTTTAAACTCCTTATTTTTCGAACCCTCTTTTTTTACACAGAAAATATTGATAAAAATGCCACAACACATACTTGTTCTTGTTCATCTCCAATCAAAACATGATATTTAAATTCCTTCTTGTTTCCGCCTTTACATTTTTTTTTTGGTACAGTATCTTCATTGCATCACGACTTTTTCTCTTGCTATCTCTTGAACCAGGCCTCTTTCTCACAATATCCGTAACATCAATCAAGCCGTGTAAAAATAAATCCTGCTCATCTTTTGTATTGAACTGGCTGTAGAAGTTTATAAACACATCATCAAGGTTGTCTTTGCCAATAGATTCAAAACACTTTCTCGAACAAATGAAAAAAATTTTACTAAAAAAAAAAAAATTATAGGTAGCCTAATCTAGGAAACAAAACAGAGTTTAAGTTAAAATATGCTAAGTGATTGTAAGCTACTCTAAAAATGTCATTCTATTGTCTTTAGCCTACGAATATTTAACAAATATAAACCTATACAAGCAATCAACAACTTAGGTCTAAAGGCCAACTATAAATTACAGAGCCTAAATCTGACTAAATTTTAGACAAGTTATTACAGTTTGGCATAGACATATTATTAAATTAAGAATTATTGCGTATTATATTTTACCTGCATGGATCTCCAATAGACTTTGCATCAACTTTTTGTCCTCTGTAGTTTTCATATGCCACACCAGTAAGCCTAGATTTCTTAATCTTGTTCCAATTATAATCATCTGGTTTCTTATCTTTTTTTTATAGTTTATCTTTTTTTTATAGTTTATTTTTATTATAGTATAATCAGACTCACTACCACTACCACCCATTTAAAAAAGCAGTTAATCAACCTAATTCACTATTAAAATCATTAAATGTAATAAATCAAATTTATTCACCACGCTGTTGCACAATCAAAACAACAAAGTAAGGTTACGTTTGGTCCGCTGTCTTCAGGGCAAAGTTTCTTGTTTTTTGTTAAAAGGGCTGAAGTCCGGACTTCAGCCCTTTTAACAAAAAACCAAAACTTTCAGACACTGTACAGACTAGAGAAAATTTTTGACAGACACCTTTTTAACACAAAATGATGGAGCTATCTTTTGAATATACAAATTTGCTAAAAAGTTGATTTTGCAAAATATGTGACTTCCGCCCTTTTAACATTCACCGATTCTCATAAATTAATATTGATATGGAAAAAAATGTTAATTAGTTTAAGAAAAAAAATAATAATTCAGGGTTTCTTTTCAAAGAATTAAATCAAAGTTTATGAAAAAAACTTTTAGAAGAATTTATGGCTATATTTAAAAAAAAAAAGGTTTGGAAAAAAAAGTAAAACTTTTTTCTAATATTTTTTTTTTTTTTGGGATCGGTTGTTACAAAAAAAAACGAATTTATATTTACGCATAAAACACAGAATATTATAAAGATTAAACTTGCATATAAAGTTTTTGTTTCATAAAGAAGATCAAAATAATAATTTTATAAGATAGACACATTTCTGTTAGTTACAGAGGTTTTATTTATATTAGTACTACTCCAATCAATTTTTAAGTAATTAATATTACAATGAATTAAAGAGAATATAATTAGATTTGCATTAAAACTTGAATCGATGCCAATCAAAAACAAATTGGGTAAACAATCCTCAAAAATAGATAAACAAAAAAAGTATTAAATTTTGTTTGAAACCTTAATTGTAAATACAACAATATATAAACAAGCACAATCCAAAACTGCAGGTGTCAAGTCGAATTGCTCAGTTGTGAAATAATGTCATGCTCATATATGTAAGCAGATTTTTTACTAAAATAAACCAAATAATTTGCATGGTAATGTCATAAGATTTTATTTTATAAAAAATAATTCCATAATCACAAAGTTTTGGTCACATGTTAAAAGAAAAGGAAACATAAATAGAGCACATATTATCGAGAGGTGGAGGTCGTTGCTAATTATTAATATTGTTAAAAATAAAAAGAATTTTTTTTTCATTTGTAGCAACTAACTAAGTACTAAAATCAATTTTTTATAAACAAAAACTACTCTTGTTACACAAATGTGTTCCAGTATTTTTTTTTTCCTTTTACTTTTACTTAATCTCTTTTACGTCGTTAAGATGCATTTGCGTGTTTTACGTCGTTAAGATGCATTTGCGTGTTTTACGTCGTTAAGATGCATTTGCGTGTTTTATAGCTTGTTCTTAAGGTTAAGTGCTTTTTCCTCTAACCGTATACCGTATTTAAAGATGTCCATTATAAAGCGTAGAAGACTGTCCCAGGCACTCTCTGTTACTAAATCAATACCTTGAAATACTTCACAAATCCCAAACTGAAAACTTGCCGCAAGAGCCTAGAATAAGTTATGTGAAAGGTATTATAATTTTTTTTTGTAAAATATTTTTGCATATACAACCAATAAATGTTATTTATTTAAAAATAAATAAAAAGATTTCAAATAAGAAAAAATGATTATAATTAAAATATTTACATTGGCGTGGCTTTGGTTAACTCCTAGTTCATAATGCAATCTACCAAGTTCGATTAGAAGTAATATCAAATCTTCAATTTTATCTACTTTGCTAATTACGATATCAACTGCCGATTCTATTCTTTGCACATGAATTACAAGTTCTTTAGAAACAAGTAGTTCTTCAAATGAAGAGTTTGCCGGGAGATTTTTAAAAAGTTTTCTTACTGTAGGGTGTGTTGTAAACCATCTAAAAACATAAGAAAAAACATAGTACTGCATACCAACTAAAAGCATTAAAAAACATGATATTGATATATCAAATTTTAGTTGTTTGAATAAAAGTTTTAACTTGTAAGTATACTTTTCTTAATCAAAATTTATATCTTTATAATCCCAAGATGTACCGATATCATATCAAATCAAGTATATTTAAAAAATGATCAAATTCAATATTTTTAATTTAGAAGTTAGTATATTTGTTTTCTACTTTTGAAAGCACTGCTGCTTTAGAATTTTAATTTTTTGTTTTCATCTTAAATTTTACCCTATTTAGATCTTTATCTAAAAAACAACACAACAGCATATTTTCTATCCTGCTAAATTAGTAAAAATAAATATACCGATCCTCAGAGATTTGCTTATTAGTTTAGTTAAATTTAAATGTAAAATAAATTTCAGCTAGCCTTTTTTTTTACTTTTTTGTCAGGATTTTCAATTATGATATGAATAACAATCGCAGAATACAAAATATTGATGAAATTTGATGATTGAGATGAAAAATGCATCACTTGATCTAAAAAACTTGTTGGAGTCAAGACAAACATAATATAAAAAAAAATTCTCATGTTTAATTTTTTAAATTTTAGAAAAAAATTAAATAGAATGAAAGTAAAAAAAGTGTTTATGAGTCTTATCCTAATGTAATACCAAGTTTTTTATACGTGTTCTTCCAATAAGATAGCTAAAAGCATTAAAACGATGCAAAGTTTTTAAACTCTAACCCAAGTTTCAAAAATATCAACTAATTATTATTAATATTTTATATCTATATTTAGAAATAATTAATTGAAACATTTATCAATTTATTTTCTTTTTAGTATTTAACCGAAGTATTATGGGAGATTTTGTTTAAATAAAGCATGAATTAGAAATATTGCCAAAAAAACCTGCGTTATTGACATACAAATAAAATTCAAATGCAAAACAAATTTTTAAGTATTAACTTAATTAAAATAAATGACAAAGCAGACGTTTTATAAACTAACTGGTTTTGTTAATAGAAGGTTTGAACATCATTAAAACCGTATTTCATAAAAATTATAAACCATAATTCAAAAAAGAAAATATTTTCTTATTGACGAAATTTTTTCTTTTTCTTACATACATACATACATACATACATACATACATACATACATACATACATACATACATACATACATACATACATACATACATACATACATACATTCATACATACATACATACATACATACATACATACATACATACATACATACATACATACATACATACATACATACATACATACATACATACATACATACATACATACATACATACATACATACATACATACACACATGCAGATTAACGCCGTATCCCAGTAAGCACAGATCGTTTTTAAAACGTTTAAAAAACGTTCTGTGCTAACTGGGATGGAACAGCAATCCCGATGGCGCCCCTATTTTTCTAATTTAAAACTTTTCTTAATTAAAGCATGCAATTTACAAATTACAGATAAGAAGTTGAAGTTTGATAAAAAAGTGATCCAAGTGAAACATTTTTCAGTAATAATGAACAGTCAAAGTCAAATAAAGAATTTTTGCCAACTGAGATTTCAAATGATGATGAAGCAATGTCAAGTGCTAATAAAATATCAAGTGATAAAGAGATTTACAACACTAAACAATATACTGAGTTGTGTAATGCCACGGATAGGTGTAAAATTAGTAACAGGGTTACTTGCCTATTAGCAAGTGCCATACTTAAAGATTTAGATCTTCCAAAAACAGAGAATGCTATTTATTTAAAAACTTTGCGTTATTAGAGAAATATGTGGAGGAAAAAGCAAGTTAAAAAGCTGTTGTAGTACAAAAAGTAATTTGCATTGGATTTGATGGAAAGCAGGATATCACTTCTGATAAAATATGTTGCGTCCGACAAAATTTCAAAGTAGAACATTTTGTGATAGTGTCATTTCTACAAATCAAATATGTCTATCATGTCCCAATTAGTTATTATATTACATTGGTTTAAAGTATAAGTTGATATAAAATATTGGTATAAAAAGTATAAGTATAAATTGATTAAGATAACAAATAAAGAAACATACTAATAACAAAACACCTTTCAAAAACCTTATTTTATTAAAAAACTTAAATCAACTTTATAACATTTACAAGGTTTTATTTAACAAACCCAAAGTTTTGAATGAGATCGGTTTATTTTCTGTTTCAATTAGTAACTACCATAAGTATATTACCCAGTTATAATTATAAATTTACAGTTTATCTAGTTTGTTTTTAGAAAGTTCTATTAGTTAAAGAGCAATTGAATAAATGAAATTATCTCAGAGTTTAAATCTAAAATCTTGTTCAAAGATTCAAATAACTAAAAGTTTAAAAGAGTCAACGAACTTTCTTTTTATAACTTCGAGTTTGTCCTTTTGAAAATGAGTTTGTAAAACAATACGAATTATGTTACTTTGGAAACAAAGATGTTACTTTGGAACTATAAAAACAGGTTTATTAAAATGTTTGCACAAAATAATTTCAACTTTCTCAAAATTAACTTTGATAACACGTAGCATTTTGGGAATCAACAAGAACTTTAAGGTTTTAAAAAAACTATAAATATAAGTATAAATTAGTTATAATAAGTATAAATAGTATAATAAGTTACAGTAGTTACTTAAAATTTTTTTTGAGTAAATCAGCAAACAATTTTCTTAAAAAGCGAAAAAAACGTATAAAGAAAATAAAGAGTATGAAAACTCCAACCAAATTTAAATCAAGAGCTACAGAATGCTAGGTAGCAGCCTTAATGGAATCTGATAAATCTTTAATTTTATATTCACCGTAATGTTTTACTGCATGTAGATTTTAATAAAAACATTTTTTGCCACATACTTTTTCACATTAAAAAAAAAGCCTCAATTTGCTGTGGTTGCCTGGATTTCTTTTTTTGTTACGTTTATTTTAAAAGTATGTTCGCAATAACAAAAAAAGTTTTAAATAGAAAATATGTAAATATATAATTTAAATATTAAATAGCGATTGCTGTTGTTGATTTTGATTTTTTTAACTCATAACTCAACTTGCATGAAATTATCTTCTCAACAATGAGTCTTCTACTTGTGATGCAACTTTGTTGGTTGCATTTATTATTTTTTTTTTTTTATTTTCACTCTAGTTGTAACTCTGCAAGTTTATTTTTGAAACCTTTCTTGTTGATTGTGATAAACGAAGATTAAAGTGTAGATTTTTCACTTCTGTGCTCAAAATTCTGAAGAATTAATTTGATCAAGAGCTGAGTGACGTCAGTTGTGTCAGTCGGAGTGATAAAAAGTCCAATTTTTTGGCTTCTTAAAAATGTCAATACATCGCTCTCAAATCTTGAAAAATCACCATCAGCCAAGTCAACAACAGGCTGTTTAATATTGTCCTTTTCAAAATGGCGATGAAGCATTTGATAAAAACACAGAGGTATACTGTGGTCATAACTGCCATTATCAGTTGTGAAAATAAAAAGGTTTGTACCATACGGGCACTAATACCATTTTTCTTAAATAAGATGTGGCTCATAGCATACATTACACCATTTGAAGTATTATAAATTCAATAGTTCACAAACGCGGGAGGGATTCATTATAATTATTAACTTTTGTGGTGTTAATATTTCTCTGCCATACATCAGTTTTTAATTAAATGAAATAACTGAAAAAAGCACTAATAAAAAAGTAAATTTATAAATTCTTTAGCTTAGTTTATTAAGATGAGTACATGCCATTACTTTGTGCAGTTAAAGGTACAATTTATAGAAATAGTGCCTTGTCTGTTTTTTGTGATTTTCTTTTTTTATTTTGAACCCTGACACTTTTAAAACCTGTTTTTTTTTTTAAGTTTTTGTTGTGCATTTGATGAAAGCTTTGTGACGTTAAAGGAGGTTTTGTGTTGACTTGTTTTTTACTTGTTATTTTCTAAAATATTCAACATTGTCCTTTTTAACTACGACATATTTAAATATTGGAGGCACCTAAATAAATTATTATAATTGTTATTGTATATTTGTTGATGTAACAGTCATTAAGGAAACACAGTAAACTCATAAAAATAGTTTTTTTTTTTTTTTACAGGGCTTTTGATAACAAATTTTGTTTGTCTCAATCACGTGTACCCAGTGGGCACCGGACCAAAAAAGACGTTTTTTAAATGTTCAAAAGACGTCCGAAACGTTTAAAAGACGTTCAAAAGACGTCCAAAATGTGTATAAGACGTTTAAAAAACGTCTTTTTTACGTCCGTTCCCGCTGGGTAAAAATTACCTGTTCTTGTTCCTTATATCACGGAATAACAAATTTAGTTCAGTTTTATTAAAAATTGAACAACATTCTTTTCTTTTTCAGTTTCAATGACACCACCAAGCTACTTGTTTCAATGACACCACCAAGCCATTTCCTTCAATGACACCGCCAAACCATTAGTTTCAATGATACTACCAAATTATTTGCTTCAATGACACCACTAAGTTCTTTATTTCAATGAAAAATTGATTTATTTTTAACCACCAAGTTATTTGTTTCAATGACACCACCAAAATGTTTGTTTCGATGACACCTTCAAGTCATTTGTTTCGATGAAACCACCAAGTTATTTGTTGAGTATTAAATGACTTTTGATTAGTGGAAATTTTATTAAATTGAATGCAGTATAATTTTATCAATACGATGTTTAACACCTTATTTAACACTTCTTTTAACTGTTTAACTGCTATAATATCTTTTGAAACGTTGTTTCTTGATTGGTTGATTGAAACGTTGTTTCTTGATTGGTTGATTTTCGCTCTAAGATTGAAAGGCTTTCCATTTCTTATTTATTCTCTACTCTAAAGGAATATCAAAATACACTTTAATCTGTTTTTCTTTATTTTTTAAGTAAACTTAATAAAAATTTATATACAAAAGGAAACAAAAAGTAGACCGATTTTTTTATTTCTTTTTAAATTTTGTATATATTCTTTTGACAAAAATCAAAAAGGCCACTATATTTTTGAATAAATGAGGCCACTATATTCAACGAGACTACTCTATTTTTTTTAATCTAAAAAAAAAAGAATAGAAAATTTTTTCTTAGAAATAATCTTAAATGTTATCAATTCAAACCTTTTAATTTTTTTTCAAAAACGATATTTCAAATTTAATATATCATCATATGTACACTTTCCAAAGTGCAGTTTAAAACGAAGTCTTGTTTTTCGAGAAAAATATGAAAAAAAAATTTTCGAGCAATAATTTCCTCATATTGAATTTGATACAAATCTAATTTAAGATGAATTATGGGAATGACAAAGTTATTCTCTAAAATTTGGTCGAATATTTATGAGAAATTTAATTAAAGTTGAAATATTACTGGAGAACATAAATAATATTACTTAATGAATATTAAGCTTGTAAATATTTAAAGCTCTTATCTAACGAGATTTGCAACGTTCATCTCTGTTTGCCCAAAATATTATCAAAACATTGCAAGTACGGTTGAAAATTTCTGGAAATTTTCTGGAAAATTAGCTCGAAATTTCTGGGATTTATTTTAAAAATAATTTTATTGCAATAAACATACTTGTATAAAATCCATTTCTTTGTTTTAAAAATATGCGTTTTATCATCGTAGTATTTGGTTGTTCTTTAAATATTTGAATCAAAAATATAAAATAAAATAATAAAGATACACAAGCGAAAAATATACATTTTTTAGTCAAATTTTTATAACCAATCCTATCAATTTAAAAATCGCGCATTTGTTGAAAAAGCAATAAAACGCTTAAGTTGGTATATTTTATCTTTTAAGTATATTACTTTTGTGAAACAATGCAAAGTAGATGTTTTCCGTGTTAGTCTGGCTTTTGAGCTTATGTATAAGATATTTCTAGCTTTTACTATTTTCAACTACGATATAATTTATTCACTATTTATTCACTTCGATTTAATTTATTCACTATTTATTCACTAAACACAAAAAATTCAGTTTTTTTTAGATAAACAAATTTTATTATGTATTATTTTTCTCAAGTGTTTTAAAGAAACAAAGATTTTTTTTGTCTAAAGGTTGCACAAATTTAAAAAAAGATTTTTATATTAAAATCTTTTTTTAAATTAAAAATTTTTTACTCAAAAATCGTCAACTTGACAGTTTCAAAATACGGTATTCACTTAAATCATTTTAAAGAATAGCATTATTTATTAATTTGTTGATTTATACCCTGCAAGGTTCCAAAAAAAGCCCCTTATCCTATAGGGATGAGGTTGCAAATTATGTTTAATTTAAAAAAAGCTTGCTACGGCACTGAAAGTCAAAATTTTTAACAAATAACAAGAAAAAAAAACAACTTAAAAAAATTAAAAAAAAAAAATTATTGTAGTTGTTACTTATAGTTACAATAAAAAAACTAAACAAAATACCTAAAAAGTGTTTTTCAAAGGGGGTTTTCTAAAAACTTTATAATCTGCTTCAAGTATTATACCTTAAAATTGACCATAACAAAAAAAAAAAAAAACGCTGCACGGAGAAACAAGTTGAGTTCGACACTATCAGGAGCGTGGTGGATATTGACTTTGATCCCCATTACTTTAGTTAAAAATGATAAAAATGAAATAATTATGATAATAATAAAGAATTAATTCAATACACTTTCTTAATTTTTATAAGTTTGCACAAACTTAACCCTCATTACAGAAAATAAATGAGTTAATTAAACACCAATATTGACCATTCTTTATCTTTTATATGATAAGGGAAAATTATTATTGGAGTTATTTGGAAAATAATCGCTTAACAACATCAAGAAGAAAAAAAAAACAAGTTTTCACCTTTCTATAAGTTTCATTTACCTAGCATTTTGATACAAGAAAAAAAAATTATTACATAAAATATAAATTATTATATAAAATATAAAGCAAAAGAAAATCAAACATCTAAAAATATGATAGATAGAAAAATAAAGTTTTTATGCAGAAACTTATAATGATACTAGTAATTGGCGACAATTAACTTTTTATTATTATTACTAATTATTATGTTTTTTACTAATTATTATGTTGTAGAGTAATTACAATATTACTAACTACACTACTATAAATAATATTGATATTTTATTATTAATATATTACTAAATTATTACCAACAATATTATGTTGGTAATATATCAGTACTTTATTAATAAATAACAATATTAGGTATTTTTTTAGTGGATGTTTTGAAAACATATTTTTCTTCTAAATACAATAAAACAAAATCAAATTCTTTTTTTCGAAAAACTTTTTGGAAATGATTAAATAACTCTCATAATTAAAAAAAGCAATCAATTAGTTACTAGGCTTTTTTACACGGATAAAATTATAAGCTGTCTTTTAACAACAAAGTCTCTTTCTAATAATTTGCGGAAAGCTTAAAACAGAATACTCAGTGCCAACTTAAATAAACACAACGAGCCATTGAAAATTCTTTTGGAATATTAAAAAATGTTGTGCAATCATAAAATACAACGTTGATCTAATATAAACAATAATTCTTCTTCAAAATTGGCAATGTTGGGCAAACTTCCACAAAATTCGTCTGCGTGACCTTCTGCGAAGTTTTCTGCGAGATCTTTTACAATAAAACGAAGCATAAATTTATTAAAAAGTTTTTATCTTTTAAAATATAAAAACCCATTACTATTGTTTATTTTAAATTTGGATGGAGAAATCTATTATTAATCAATTTACAAATTTTTTTAAATCAATATACAAATAATTTTTATTATAAACTGTTATAAAAAAAATTTCAAAAGGAAAAAAGAATCGAAGCATTGTTTATAAGCAACGTTTTTGATAACTTTTATTATCTAATAGTTGAACTTTATTAATTTTGCGTCAACTCGTCAATTCAAAGTTTAATAAAGTAAAATTAATAGATCCAGCCATCTGTTTATCATTCACCATCTACCTGTTCATCATTCATCCATTCAACAGTTCATCATCGTTTGAGGAGTTCATTTGCAAAACGTGCAAAGTCCGAGTATTTTATCAGATTTTGAGAAAAAGACGAAAAACTGAATTACTCCTAGTTGGGCATCCACCGAAATTAATATTTTCTTTGTCTATTTTCAGGACAAAAGCTCTTATAATTGGTCTAATATTTATATATATGATACATTTTTCAGTAAATAGAATCTGGAAATGGAGTTTTTTATTTTATTTTTGTGACTTTTTGAAACTTTTAGAACCACGTTTAGCAGATGGGTTCCTCATATATATTTTAAATTTAATATTAAATTTAATAAGACATAATTATGTCTCAAAGGTTCTTAAGACTTCTTTAGGTCTTCTGCGAGTTTCCTTACAACATCACAATTATTTCACCTAATTCTTTTATCAAATTTATTATCATAAAATATATATAAAACATATACTTTGAATTTAACACAGTCTGTTTGACAATATATTTTTAACGATTTACATATGTATACATTTATTGTTGTTTTCTCTATGACTTTATATTATGTCAAGAGAAGGTATTGTAACAATAGTTTATAAAGTGGTAAAAAATCATAGCGAAAAAAAAAAAAAAAAAAAAAAAAAATCTAAAACAATAACTACATAATTTTTTGCATTTAAATTTAAAATATATATGAGGAACCCATCTGCTAAACGTGGTTCTAAAAGTTTCAAAAAGTCACAAAAATAAAATAAAAAACTCCATTTCCAGATTCTATTTACTGAAAAATGTATCATATATATAAATATTAGACCAATTATAAGAGCTTTTGTTACTTAAAAAGTTAAAAAGTTTGCTTTTTAACTTTTTACTTATTTTATATAAAATAAGTAAAAAATTAAAAAGCAAACTTTTTAAGTGACATTAGTAGAGTAATACACATAAAAATATTGAGATATTAAAATTAGTAGGTGTTGTATAAGAATTTTGGATTTTGTTATTTTTTCTTTTTCACTTTCTTGTCAAATATGTTTAAAACATTTCGATAAAATTTATTCTTAAACAAAAGAAAAATTTAATATATTTTCATAAATTGTGTGGTCTGAATTGCGTTTATACTTTGCTATGTAATTTTAAAATTTTGAGCGAATTGCCAATTCCTGCAACTCGTTATGCAAAACGTCTTTTAAAGAAAAAAAAAATTAAAAACATGTCAGGCGTATTTTTCCGTGAAACTATTTTTAACTTCCCAAGTAAAGAATTCAAATCATATTGAGGACATAAAGCTTCTCCCTCTGTATATATATACCTTTTTTTCTGTTCTAACTAATTTAAGTTAAAAATATATAGTGTTATATGTCCTCAATTAAAGAATTCAAATCGTATAGACGCAAAAAAAACCCATTATAGATATATATATATACATATATATATATATATATATATATATATATATATATATATATATATATATATATATATATATATATATATATATATATATATATATATATATATATATATATATATATATATATATATATATATATATATATATATATATATATATATATATATATATATATATATAACCCATATACACATATATATATATATATATATATATATATATATATATATAACCCATATACACATATATATATATATATATATATATATATATATATATATATATATATATATATATATATATATATATATATATATATATATATATATATATATATATGTATATATATATATATATATTTTAGTGTTATGGATCAAAATCAAGTTTTTTTGCAAAACTTATTTTAACGTTTTTTACATAATTCTTTTACAGCTCTTCAAATTTTTTTATCGAACAATACCGACCGACTTCATTCACGTAAACATAATCTACACAACCTGTTTAACTATGTACTTTAATTTTGGTGGCCGAAACTTTACAATCATTTTTGAAAACTAATTTCAAAACCCTTCAAAGGTTAAAATAAATCTTATCTTATAGATTATAACAAAACCAAACTATATTTGTACTGGTGACGATAGCCTCAAAGATGGGCTCAAAAAAGTCAAAAATGCTTTATAAAATTAGAGATTTTTTTTTAAATTGCTTCTGTTTTCTCGTGCAAGGGTATCTGAATAGTTTCTTTTTTCTATTTCAAATTCATGAACTTAGTAACATATAATTATAAAATTTTCAATCCGCTCACAAAAAAATCTTGTTTTTTAAACTTTCGTGTTTCGTATAAGTTAAAAAGTCGGTTTAAAAAATCACACGGTATAAACTATAACCTTTTGAATGTATTTTCAAAGAAAGAAGAAAGTAGCTGCGTCATTAAAGACAATTTTTAAAATAATTTTTTTGCCTAACGATAACTGCGATACTTTTCTGAACAATAATGATCACAAGTCTAAATGAGGCTAGTAGTAAAAAGAAAATAGTGTTAAGACGAAGTTGAAACAAATTACCAAACATTTTGGAGAGGTTCAATAAGATGAAAAAGAAACACAAAAACTAATTGCATCAAAAATTTTGTTAAAATTGAATGACCAAAAAAAAATTAAATTCTACAAAAATAGGATGAGTCAAAAAAAGTAATTGTTGGGTAATCGCAGAAAAACATAAATGTTTAATTTTTTTTTTTTAATTGAAAAAACATCACTCAAAGCTCAAAAAAAGAATCACAAAGATTTTTATTTTGTTTTAAGTGTCATCGAAAAAACTTACTCAATACAATTATTTAGTTGACATGTAACATTAATAAAATGAATGCTGTAAATGTCGTTGCAATTGTAATTGACGTAGGTTTTAGTGTACCTGGCCTTAATCAAAATCAATAAAAATCAAAATAAGATATCGATCGTATAAAAAAGTTAAAAATGTATTTAAATTACGTGATTCACACTATAATCACTTTGAAGTCAGCGATTGACTCACAGTGGAGTTTTATGCGAAGAATCATACGAAAGAACTTTGAAAAACAGGCGCAAAGATTTAATGGGCTGTTTGCAATTAAAAAGTTATATTTTCAACGCAATCTTGTTGTATTTACCAAATAACACTGACTGCAAAAAAGATTTACAATTATCCAAGGGGTATTTTGTTTACAACTTCTTTTATGATAATAAAAAGAAATTCGTCATGTAATTAACGTTTAGAAAAATCTCGGAACTAATTTTCTAGCAGTTTGAAATATTTACAACCAAAATCGTTTGCAAAAAAAGTTTTTTGATCCAAAATAAATATACAAAGTATTAGGAATTGATGAGACACTTACTAAAATATTGAAAAAAAATTTTGAACTTTGCGCCAAAGCAGTTGATATTGAGGTTTGCTTAACTGATATAAAATGCCGTCAACAGTTTACAAAGTTCTTGTATATCGAGCAAAAATATTTATCAAACCACCAATTTGGTTGGGAGTTTAGCAGAGAAAGCTTATTTTTATGTGTTTTAAATAAAAACAAAATGTTTTCATTTAAAACACATAAATTTTTGTTTTGATTTGAAACATGAAGAACTTGTTTCAAATTGAAAAAGAAATCACTTGTATAGAAATAAAATAAAAAAATGATTTTTAAAATAAAAAAAGGTTTACCTTCGAAAGACGACTTTTAATAGTTCAAACCATCTAGATTTTACGTGATCCCATGAATTCTTTAATGCTTCAACTTCCTTTTTGGACAATGGAAACTTAAAGTATCGAACTTCATTTTTTATTTGTACAGGAGTAAGAACGTTTTCTGCTGAACAAAGTTCGTTTTTCTCCAAACAAGTTTTTCTCTTTTTACCGTTTTCTTTCGTTATTAGTTCGTGATTGCTCCTACATGACACGGCGCAACCCATTTTCTGCTTTTATTTTTATCTTTACTATAATTTTTTTCTTTTTCTTTTTCTTTTCTTCTTAATATTTTTCGCAGAAAAAATCTTGATTGAAGAATATTGAAAATCTATAGTTCAAAAATGTGAAGTCAATTAAAAAATAAATCCCAAACGATTTTCAAATACAAAAAAAATTATTCCTAAAGATCGTGCTGGTTCTTCAATGATGTTAAATCCATCGTAAACGTCATGCTGATTTTTCATTGATAATATTTTTGAAAACTCGATGAAAAAACTGCTAAAACCAAATAAATTACAACTAAAAAAGAAAAACACATCAAAATAATAAAATATAAAAATAAATACGAATATGACTTATAATATTTTATGTTAATGAAAATCTGTTTACCGATAAAATTTATTTTACGTAATTGAACATATGATCAAGAGATACAAAATAAAAAAGTAATTTGTAAAGATAATAATCATTTTCAAAACTATTGAATAATAATAAAGAAAAACTTTTTAAACTTTTATAAAAACAAAAAAACAACAACAAAATTTTTTTTTAATAAATAGTTTGATTTTTTTAATTGCGATAATTGTCCCACAAGTCGATTGAGACAGCAACTAATAATGAACTACGTTAGTTATAGCAAAATTGTTACTTCGGTATGTTAAATTATTCTAATAATATTTATCTTAAATTATCAAAAGTTAAGTTACTATTATTAACTTGGTCTTAAAGAGAGGTAATTGGTCTTGAAGAGAGAGGTGAGCTAAGATCTAATTGTTTTGAGATTTTCGTATCTACTTTTTTTTTGAAAAATTTTTTATTATATGAACCTCTCCCTCGTTTATTTAAAAGTGCAGGTGTAGGTCAGTTTTTTTGGCGTCGCGACTTATTTTTTTAGAAATTATTTTTAAAAAATTTAATAAACAATTCAGAGACAAATTTAAAACAGCTATTTTATTTTTTGGCTTTATTTTTTAAAAATTTAGGTGAAATGAAAATGAACTTCACGTAGAGGAAACAATTTTTTTGAAAATGCATAATTTTTTTCTTGGAAAGAATCGCACTATTGTCTCTGTTCTTGTTTTCCGAATAAAAAAAAAAAACGCTCTAACCACATTTTGACTGGAAATCAAATGAAAAATATTCGTACATAGTAAAAGGTAAACACTGTGTATAAAAAATAAATTTTTTAATTTTTTTGAAAATTCAAATATCTCCATATCAAATTTATTTATTTTTTTATTTTTTTTTTTTGCAATAGGATCCTCAATATCTTTTCAAAGAACCATTCTTAATCAAAAACATAGCACAGGTTTCACAGAACTGGAATCTTGATATAATTTTATTGTAAGCTTATATCAGCTTTTAAAATTGATTCAATTCAATTAGTGCCGAGTTTTTAGAAAAAATTCGCACTAACAAGTCGGTAACCGTGTGATTACATTTCTACAAATAGTATTACTTTGTCTAATGATAACAACAGTAAACTCAGTGAAATTTTAAAAACATCAAAAAACCTAACTGACTCTGCTTTTTTGAAACCCGACACAGATGTATCTCATCACCGAACAATTCACTCTTATTCTTCGATTTGTGAAATTCAACTCGGGTAGATGATTTGGAAAGTTAAAGAACAATTTATCTGCGTTTAAGATATGGAGAAAAAGAAATGTGCAGTAATTGGGTATTCAATTGGCAACGTTTTGGCGAACAAAAAGTGAGAGGCCAAGAATACGACAATTGTTCTAATATGGCTGGAATCTGTAATGGAAGCTCATTTACTGGAAAAAGATCCGTTCAATTTATACATTCCTTACATAGTCTATATTTAGCTGGAGTTCGTGCTGTTGAGTCTTGCGCTGAGAAAATCTTTTTTTGGCAATATCCGAGCCCTCTACGTGTTCTTTAGTTGCAACCCAGTAAGATGGAATATTCTTCATGAAGAAAGAGGTTTATCACTTTACAAGCTTTCAGAAACTAGATGATTAGCCCACATTGCAGCTGTAAAACCTTTAGTGAAAAAACCACAAGAAATCTTTGCTGTTCTGAATTGAACCGTTAACTAACTTGACCTAACTGTGGACATCTTGAATTAAGCGAAATTGTTGAGTAAATATATTATGTTGTTTGAATCAGTAGTTCTCCTAACCGTTTGGTATAAGATACTGCAAAATATTGATAATGTTATATAATATATATATATATATATATATATATATATATATATATATATATATATATATATATATATATAAATATATATATATATATATATAATATATGTATATTCATATAATATATATATATATATATATATATATATATATATATATATATATATATATATATATATATATATATATATATATATATATATATATATATATATATATATATATATATATATATATATATATTAAGGACCGGTGAAGTCAACTTTTCAAGACCCGAATTAAACTGAAAGACAAATTTAAGCCATATATGTAGTCTGAATTTAACTGAAAAACGAATTTGAATTTTTAAACCAAATTTAACTAAAAGCCAAATTGAAGACCTTGGAATGAAATTCTTAAATGTCCACTATTATGCAAATTGGGTTAATGTTATTTTTTGATTGCCTATATATAAGTCCATGTATTGACACTTGTTAAATATTTCTTTAAAAATTATATGCCCTTCAAAATGACTATCAAAAAAAAGTTACTTTTGTAAAATCATCAATAATTACAACGCGTTTGTTTAAAAACAGCAAATTACCGCTTTTTTACGGCTGTACGGCGGTATAATCACTTATTGTTTGACATTTATAAATGATGTTTCTTGTGCTGTTCTCTGGTTATTTATAAATTTTTGCATGGTTTATAATAGTAAGTTCAAGAATTCAAGTGTCTGAAAAACCCAGGATGAGGAAAATTAACCACAGCAAGTAGAACTTAATTAAAATTGCAAAATTAAAGAGCGCTAGTCATGTCATCATGAAGAAAAGTATCTTCCTGCTAAAACTGTTGGCAATGACTGCAGATATAAAACAAAAGATTAAATTATACAACCAAGTACGCTCTATCCTTTGGATCTCCTGGCAATGACACATGTTCATACTGTGATTTGGATCTCCTGGCAGTGACACATGTTTATACTGTGATTTGGATCTCCTGGCAGTGACACATGTTCATACTGTGATTTGGATCTCCTGGCAGTGACACATGTTCATACTGTGATTCTGTTAAAACAAAACTTCAAGTTTTTGATTTTTCTGAAGAAGACAAACGAAAACTCGAGATAGAACACAAGCTTCATTTGACAAGAGCTCAAGAGTTTACAATTAAAAAGCGACAATTAAAAGTACTAGCAAGCTCTTCTACTGATATTACTGTTATATCAATCGACTTCATGCAAAATTTGTCTTTGTCAAATATGGTTACAAATGCTGCGTTTTATTCTAGGCAGTTATGGTGCTATATACTTGGAGTACATGATTTAACTTTTATGTTTACTTTTATGAAAACTTGCCTTTTGATAGTGATATGGTAGATGCTGATGAAGATGATAGCGAGGAATTAACTGACACAGATTAGCATTCATATTTAAATAACACAATATTATAACTATAATATTACAGTTTGTTTATAATACATTGTATTTTGTGCTTTGTATCTTTATTTTTTATTATTATTTATTGTTACTTTTTAAACTATAAAAAAAAAAAAAAAAAAAAAAAAAAAGAAAATCAATAATTATTGTTGTTTTTATTTCTCCTTTTATAGTCGAAATTCTCCATCATTTGAAGCAAAAACAGCAAAAGTCCGAATCCTTTAGAAAAACATCAAATGTCACACTGACTTTTTAATCGGTATTTAAATATGCATACTTAATTAATATTACTGCTTAAACTTATTCTGTGCGCAAAAAGTGATTCTATGATTTGACATTTAAAAGATATTAATATATATTAGTGGAACCATGATATTTAGTTTAAATGCTCTCCTCAAAAAAATATTTTATAAAATATTATAAAAAAAACATTTGAGATTTTCATTCGAAGGTCTTCAATTTGGATTTTAAAAACACATTTAATTGAAAGAGAGGTTTTATAAAAACCTTTACAAATTTTATAAAAAATGGCATACATTTTTTGTCTTAATACCACCCCTACCCCCCACCCCCCGTTCTAGGTGCCCCAAGAAGACCATATGGTTTCGTTAGAGAGAGCCTCGGAAAAGCATTTCACTAGGAAGTTCGAATATCTTTTCTTACCGATGCACAGTTGTCAGTAAAACTTGATTTTTGGCCAAAATCAAAAATTTCGATGTTTTTTTTTAAACTAAATCGATAATGCTGAATCGAAATCTGAAAACAGTTTTTCGGGGTGTAGTGATAAGGCAAATATTGTCTTCTTTTAGCCCCGGTCATGTAGATTTTATTTATATAACACGGCATTGTATTCATTTTTTTTTATAACAAATAAAAAAAATAATAAATAAAAAAAATATAATAAATAAAAAAAAAAAAATTTAAGGTATTGTTGTTCAGATATCGCTCTAGCGGCCCAGTCAAGAAATTCTCAAAAAGTTTTCATTTTTTTGCTTGTGGTGTTATAATATATCGGTTGTATTCTTTATAAGCTACTATTCTAATTTTCAATTTAATTAATTAATAATCAATCTAAAAATATAATAAAATACTTTAAATTAAAAACCATAATATAAAAAATATACGTTCAATACGGAATAACAAAGATATGATTAAAAATGTGGTATATAAACAACGCAAATATAGTGTCAAAACGGAATGGTTTGCAAAGAATAATTGTTCCTTTATTTTAATTATCGGCAGCTGATTTTTTCTAGGAAGTATTAAGCGATAATAGATGATTAAAATATACTATAAATATAATGTTTTAATAGCGGACTTTGCATTAGAATAATTTATAAAGATAAATGTTTGAACTATTTTTAACAATTTAGGTAGCAAGTAGCAAGTACGTTTGTATAAAGAAAAAAAATGTTTTTGAACATGTATTTATAGAAATAAAACAAAAATAGAAACACTAGTATTTTTTATAACATAAAATAGGTATATTTTGGGAGCTTTAAAGTTGGTTTAAATAATTTTATCTGCAGCTGATTTTTTTTTTGAATAATATATGCATAAAACCATATCAATCAAGACCAAGCGGACCATGCGGACTTTAGTTTTAGGAAGAAGTTGAAATTGAAGAAAAAACTTATATTTTATGCTAGTTTCAAACATAAATAACTTATGCAAATATACAATAATAAAAAATTATTATTGTTTTAAATTAAACTCTATATTATAAAATTTGTTCAAAA